AATTGTATTGTAATATACGATATTGCGGCGTATTTATCAAAAATCAAAATGATTTAACTCTTAAATTAGAAAACAACCTTGCCGATCTATGAAAGTTAATAAACTGTTATTTTCTTTGATCATCAGTTATACGAAAAAGAATAGTCGAATGTTTAATCGCGGGTTTTTCGTACAGTGCAGTTATTTACGAGTGTTTATTCGATATTTCAATGAGTAATTTTTTTACGGCTTAAAGATTATATTAATTTACTTAATAACATCTATAAGAAATTTTGTTTCCGTAAACAGGGGGAAAAAAACTGTACAAAACTTTATCGAATTTGTACGTAACGCAACTCTATATGCAAGTTACTGCAACCCCGCAATGCCGCACTGATCAACAAATATTGTACTTCATTTTATTATAACCATTCGAACTTAAGTATTATCGTTCTCTGGTGCAATGATGCTAGATTGTCTAACGGTTCTCAGAGCAATATATGAATGTATAATCATGTACTCAGGTTTCGATAAATCTGATTTATATATTTTATGTATAATATATTATAATCGTGTTTACAATTAAAAAAGTAGTTGGTATTGATTTTTTAACTTAATTTTATTATTTTTTTCTATTCTTAAGGATTTAATAGGTTTTTATAACTACTGCTGCTATATAATTATTTGCTTGTCTTTTCATTTTTTCAAGTTTTTGTTTTTATCGGAATAAAGTATTTTCAATTTTACATTACTGAAGTTCATATTTTTAATCGTAAACCATATTAAATTAGTACAAAACACTATACAAGGAATACTATAGTTAATAAACGCAATTTTTTTAAACTTTAAGTAAACTTAAATTATAAAAATATGTTGTTGGATCGAGAAAAATAGTTCAAATTTATGAACTGTTACAGTAAATCATTACTATATGCGCGAAAAAAAAAAATCAATTAATTGTATGTAAAGGCTTATAACCATTTACTTTTTATGTTAAATAACTTTTAGTTTTCATGTTTATATTAAATACATTATGTAACCTTTTGATTCCTTTCCTATATTTGTATTACCACTGCTTATCATATTAAATTATATTAAAACATTCTTCACATAATATATTATCGAAGTAGTTGTTTAATTTTTTTATACATATAGTATCATATAAACACTAGTATTAAAACAGATCGTGTATTCCAAACCAACGAAATGGTTATGTTCGATTCTAGTCGACGTAAGCGAGTGGATTCAAATTATTAAGTCACGGTAAATTTACCACCAATACAATTCAATGTAAAAACGTTTTTGAATCAATTTAGTAACGATACGAAAAAAAAACATAATCTTGAAACGTGATATCCTTCAGCGTGTAGCAATGAAAAATAATTCATATCACGATTACCCGAATGACGAATTGCATTAACACTTCGCTTTAATTTAAATTCTGTATTATATAGACATATATAAGGTATGATAGATTACAAAGTCATTTGAATAAAAATAACGTTTTATTACTGTTTTTTATTAATAATAAAATATAACATGTGCTATTATCTAGACGTCGATGGTAGACTTATATAAAAGATTATTGATGAATCAATTTACTATTTTAATATATATAAACTTATCAATTTCGTATTTTATTTATATTCTACAAAGTATATCAAATCATTTTCAAATATTTGGTTTAAATCACCATAAAAATATTGGATGTTTAAAATATGTAGTCATTCGCAAAGAATAATTATGAAAAAATAATATACGCTCAGATAATATGAGTATAATGCAAATGTACAAATAATATTTATTTATCTATTAAATATATGAATACATAGTATTTAAATTGAATATGCAAGTTTAATTGATTACAATAATTGTAATTAAATTGTTATTAATTTCGAATTAATTATTAATTCGCGGCTTAAATTTTATAATTAATGATAAACAATTTATTTTGTTTTATTAATGTTACGATCAATTTTTTTTTTTTTTTTTAATTTTGTACTTACTTATTTAGGAAATATGAAATAATATTAAGAGTGCTAAATATTTCACATAAATTCTCAGTAGATAATTTGAAAATAAGAGATATAATTTAAAGACATACTTTTTAAAATTTCTCACAATATTTCGAAAACAAGGTAGCTTTTGTAGTATAAACACATAAAAGATATGTTTTCTTTTTTTTCTGTTCAAATGATTTTGACATTTAATTTTAATAATTACTAAAAAATGTTAATTAATATTACGATATATACCAATATTTTATAGCTTATATAAAATGAAAAATAATTTGGTGAATATTCGATTAAACTATAAAATATAGAAAATGCAATATTTTTTCTTTTACTCACACTTTACATACTGATTTTTTAAATTTAAAATACTTAAAATTAACTCACCACAAGAATAATTATTTTATTATTGTTTTATTTATACTTTTTTAAATATCTCTATAAAAAGTTAACTTACTCAAATCAGTATTTTTAATCAATAAAATACGTTGTGTAGTGTTTATAATAATAATTTAAGCTAGCTTATATAGTAAAATAAATAAGCGAAACTGGACAAACGCCTAATACCTATTATTTGTGTTAAATCTATATTGACTTACACGTTTATTTATGTTTTGTTGTTTTTATTATTATTATTTATATTGAGGATATCTACGTCAATATAATTTATTGGACTTACTTATAGACGTTTAAGCGGGCGTATATCGATTCCGCCGATTTTATATCGACTCCGCCGGCTATTGATTCCGCTGGCTACTGTTTATAATATTTACACATCGATTCCTGTACATTATATAGTTGGGGGGGGGATGAACAGTGTCCGGCGGAATCAATATAAACCTTTTTCCTAAGCAGGTAATTTCGGCGGAATCAATAAATCCCCGTCTAAGCTAATTGTTTTTAAATAAAATAATTTAAATGAAGGCGGGGTAAAACCGTACTACTAACTTCTAAGCATTGTAGAACTGACAACATTTAAAGAATTTGACAATTAATTGTATAATTATATTAAAAATATTATCAGATTCAATAATATTTAAGTATTTCATATAACTTTTATAAGAACTCTTAATATCCAAATTTTGAAAATACCTAGAAAACCGACTTTGCTCCATAAGTGTGATAAAACTGTTTTATTCTTGAGGCAAAATCTTGATGGTTATATGATCCAAAATAGTAGAAATATTATCGATTATACACAGTACCCCTGATAAAAGTTTATTAATAACACAAATTATAATAATAATAAGTAGGAGAAGAAGAATAACACAAATTATTGTTAATAAATTAATTTTTATAAAATAATTTCGTCGTCCATTTGCCTGTTATATACAAGTATTATGGACGTCCTCTCGAAGCGGTGAAGGAGGATAAGAAGTAGACATTTTTTTGCTACTGTTTAAGGGATTTTCATGCTTAACTGATATTTAGCGTTGATGAATAAATCATTTTTGACTCATTATCATTGTAGAGTGCATTAAGCTTTTTATCGATTTTTTACTAACCATAAGCTCATTTTTCTTGTGCACAACATATAATCTAACATGTTAACTAATCATAATGAATAAAATATAATAATTACGTATTTTTATATAAAATATAAACATTAATCGGTAGGTAAATATAAAATATATCCAGTGCTTGACTTAAGGGGGGACGCAGGGGAATGGAGTACCCCAACTAATTTTTAGAAATTTTAGCGTCCCCCTACTATTATTAGGTTATAAATATAACGTATATAACGTTTAACAAGTCTTGGGGACGCTATTTTCTTTGAACTAAACAGAGTCCCCATTCTTTATTTTTGCCAAATCAAGCACTGAATATATCAATACACAAATCGATCCGGTTGTGGAATAAACATATATTTTCGACCGGGAAACTAGAATCTAGAAGAAAAGTAAACGGTAATGAATAGCTTACAAAATAATGAAATTCCTTAAAGAATTGTTTTATGACTCCTATAAAGCATATTTATGTAGCGTTTCTTCGGATATCTACCTCATAGTATCTACATATTCACTCTAACAATCTAACACATATTACACAGTATACTCGTATATTTATTTATGTATAGTTAAATTTTCTGATTTTATACAAAATAATAATGAATGTAATTGTTTGTGTTATAGGCATCCATTATCCAATTGAATTGAATTAAATTCAGCCATAGTCTAGTAATGTTACTATCCTGAACGACTGCACGGTTTTTGTTACTACCTGGTTCGGAAACGCAAAACCATTGTTGAAACACTAAACTAATAACGATACTATTGTTCTAAGCTAACGCCTTTGTCATACATCGAGAAATCAACATTTTTTTAAAAAATTAATTATAATAATAATAAATATAAAATATTATATTTATTATACTATATGGAGAGAAAAATCTAACGGTACTATTATTAAATCATGATGTCATGGAGACTGCGATTATAAAAAATATTTTCATGAAAAAAATTATGTTATTTACCGTGATCGTATTATAAATATACAATAACCAATTTAAAATGTAGTTACTATACTGGTAATATAAATAAAAATTACATTTTTAGGAATTTAAATTTGATAATTTATTTTATATAAAATACTTTAGTAGTAAATATATAATTATTATAAAAAAATATCATATTCATAATTTAATTAAGAATATTTTTTATATTACTCCATTGTTATTTATTTTTAATTAGATAACTATTTTCGAAGTTATTAAGCACACATTTTTTACCTATAATTATAAGTATTTTCTAATAAGATTTTTGTTTGATGATATCAATAAAAAATTCCTATTCTACGCCATGAGTTCAAAACTATCCACATCATGTACCATAATGTGCATCATTGATTATCTTGACCGAATTAAAATTAAATTCACACAACAGTCAACACCTATGTTTTAAAGTAAATCATTGACCAAAACAGTTTATTATTAAGTATAAAAACTTTTGATGCAAATTTTCTACCCGATAATGTCTTGTTACAGGTAAAAAGAAAAAAAAAAGATGATTGTAAAATCAATATATTCCTTGCTTAAGCTCAGGATGTAAAATTTAATGCTAGTAACGATAAATGCAAACAATTTACAAATAAATTATTAAACTAAACTTAATATATACTTATCTTTATTAATTTAAATATATTTAAACTGCGATTTTAAATAATAATTTACACTTAGTATTCAATTATTGTTTTTGTTGGTATTTTTAACACCACCATTTTCTGAAATTTTCTGTTCAGCTTGGTTGTTTAATAATGGTGCAATAAAACTCGATAGTTTGAAACGATTCCTGAAAATAAAGTAATCCGTTTTATTTTAACACACTTAACATTAAAATTTATAATATTCGGTAAATGCTAAGTATATAATTCTTCAAATTAGTATAATAAAGAAAACAAGAGGTTCACTTGAACGGAAAATACTTCTCACGTCATGATTGTGTTAATTTAAAAACAAAAACAAAATAATTTACTCACACGTAAGTCATAAGGTATGAATAATGTTGAAAATAATAAAATATCATATCAATATCATTATAATCATTATATTTTAAAAATAAATATGGATATTTTGAAGTATATTAAACTTATATTTTTCGTCAGTATATAGTATACACAAACACATGAGCTAAAGTTGGATATTTTTTTTAATTTATGTTTTTATCGATTTATTTGAATATATAAAGTATATTAAAGCATATCGAATCAATTGAAATACCTGTCTTGCTTTGAACATTTATAATACAATTTTAACTGTCGAATTCCTGTCGATTACTATTTCTCATATTTAATATTTTCATGCACTTGCTGTGTACATCTATTTACTTTTTTATAAACATAATGATACAAGTCCGATAGTTAAATTTTGCGAATAATTATACGTGTACACGAGGCTAGGTCAATTATTCTTTGCCTGCTTGTATTAGTCGTTGAGTGACTTGTCGACCGGAATACAGTTACTATAATCCAATGTTACCTACCTTTATTTATTTTTAGAGAGGAATTTAGTAATGGCACGGAATATTATAGTAATCATAAAATTGTGAAAATTATTTTTATGGTATACTTGTATAACTTATAATATATTTAAATATAAGTATTATCTACGTATATTTAAACATTAAATTTGCAAATTTATAATCTCTAGAGTTCAAAATTTTGTAATTTACATTATATAACATATCTCATATTATTGTTTTCTTTTTCTTGATAAAAAACAACAAAAAATGTAATCAACTTTTTTTTAATTAACGGGGTTAGGGAAACGTGAGATTTTTGAGAATCTACATAGGAACGTGGAATAAATAAAAATTATTGGTGATACTATCTACCAAATAATAGTACCTAATAAAATTATGTGTGGTTATTCGATAGAATGCCCAATATTCCTACCGTATATTTAAGTTAGATCAGGTTATTTTCATGGCGAAAACTTGGTTATCATTAATTATTATAGTGCAATTTACACGGCGTGGCATTGCGTACATATTATTATTATAATGCATACGGGTACGATAATATTACAATAGTTGTACTGACTTTTTAGCAGCCAGCCTGTGCCGGTTGTTGCACTTATATCCGTTGCACTCGACGGCAGTGGGCCGGTGTTCGGTTGCGGCGTTGGCCATCTCCGTGTTGAACAGCTGCGCTCCAGCCATGGACATGATCTGAAACAGACCGTCAGCCGGGGCCAGCACCACTTTCAGATCGCTCAGACTGATCCGCACGTTCTCGGTGCCGTTCTGTCGCTGATCGTACACCACGTCGTCCACGGCCGGGTCCACCGCCATGGTCGTGGGCGTCTGCGGGGCCGCGACGGCCACGGCCACGGTCAGCGCCAACGACGCCCACAAGCCACTGCTGCTGTAGTGGCGGCCCATGATATACGGTTGTTGACGGCGACGGCGGCGGAAGCGACTCGAATGTGTTGACGATGTTATGCCGTGCTGCGAGACGGATCTACGCGTTGCGGGGTGTTTGTTTTTTTTTTTTTTAATATTTTTGGAGTGACCGGATAAGAGCTGCGCGTGAACTGGACGGGCAAATGGAGACGGAGTGAGAATATAGCTGTACGTCTCCTGTGGCTCCCGAGCACGGGAACGCTGTTGGGGACGACCACGGGAACACCGAAAAGGAGAAAACGCGAGAAGAAAAAACAGGAGAAGGAGAAGGAGGAGGAGGAGGACACAGATCTTTGGAGATCTTGCGTATGTTTGTGGACTCCTACTACTACTATTACCTACTACTGGTACGCGTTAAACCGGTCGATGCTCACAGTACAATAATAATGGATCGCAGTTCGGGTCATTGACGCGTAACCTTACACACAACCGTTATCCTAGATATAAATACAAAAATACGAATATTCGCAATAATAATGATGTAGTAACCTAGGTGCATTCATGAGGCATTGGTACGTGGAACATATTAATGAACGTTACTTGCGTTCCATTCACAGATTTATAAATACTCGGTTCCATTGAACAAAATCCTGACGGCAAGGGCATGTTTTTTTTTTTTTGAATCTCATCTTACACTCCCGTGAATTCCGCATAATATATGTACAGTGTGATTATAGAACAATAATTATAGATTTGTTTTGCACTTAAACGTAAATTAGAACGAAGCACTATGTTTATATAATTTAGAATAAATACAGGACAATCAATCAAATTCAAATAATCACGCAATGTTACATTGGTATAAAACCAATTTAACCAAATAAATATTGAAGAATGGAAACAGTTATAAATCGTCAATTGATACACCACAGGTAGCTTCCAAATAATTTTCATTCTGTTTGAATACATCGTATGTTGTAATGTTTATCAATATGCTTCATCTTGTGGTTACAAATTGGTTTCTTTGATTATAACTGATTTATCAATATATGTCATACCAAGTTAGTTGTACGTTATGAAGTATATCTGACAAAGGGTTTACTTTTAGCTAAAAAAAAGAATACATGAAAAAATAAAATAGAATCTTCCAAATGAAATAACGATCGTGTAAATACATGTAATTAACACACCAACCATTTTTGTGACGTACAAATTTATATGACTCAATATAAATTATAAATAACAGTAATAACTAAAGACCGTGTTTATATGAATTTTAAAATGTAAAATATGCACTTTAAAAAATTAAAATATGCAAGTAAAAAAACAAAACACGTAAAGTAAAATTTCAGTTATTATAAACAAAAAAATTAGATAGGTAAATAGTAAATTTTGGTACATAGTTGGAAAAAGTACAACAATTTTAACATAGTATGTATGTAGTAATGGCGTTATGATTTGCATGGCCCTGTGCAACTTTTAAACGCGAAGCCCCGGATCTGAATATACTACAAAATAGAAGCTCGTGGCCCTGTGCAATTACACTTTCTGAACCCCTCCCGCTGGCACTGTATATATATATTAGTTGAAAAAACAATACGTTATTAAAGTATGTTCCATATTTATTTCTGTAAAATTATAATGACGATCTATAAGGATATACTTGTAGGATAAAAAATTGCATTCAACGTCAAAATTGGTTAGTGATACATATTTAAAATTGGTAATAGATCCGATGAATAATTTGGAACAAACGAAACGTTGAAATTAATACTGTTACCTTGAAGTATTTTCGAAATTTCTATTAAAATCATTAGTCCATTATTTTTATCGAAAACATTTTTAAATATCGTTTTAATTATTGTACTATTTATCCGAGTAGGAAGTTCATTGAAAGAATTTTGTACTTGTTTTAAAATATTTAACGAGTCGACAAACGACAAATTAGAATTTTCAAGTTTTTTGATGCTTTAAACGATAAATAAAAAACTTACTTTAATGAAAGCAAGATTACATTTCACATTTAATTTATTCAAAATTGTTTTTTAATGCTTTTTGCTTCATTTTCCATGTTGTCAATTACATTTTTGAATTCTTCAAAATGATGTTATAACTTATACTCAAAGCTTAAAATGTTATGTTAATTTGTGCAAATTTTTTAGTTTTTTACCTATAAATACATATTTTTGAATATATTTTTGATTATTATTTTATTGATATTTTTTAATAATATTTTTATCTAATAATTTACACGAAATATCGAACTTTAAATTAGAAAAAATAATATAATTTTTATTTAACGTTGGATGAACGTGATCCTCTACAAAACATATTAAAATAAGAACACATTACGTGTACAATTTAAAATAAATCAATCATTGAGCTTAAATACCCTAAAATATAAATTTTTCACGGTTTAAACAATAGCTTATAGGCTGGCAATTCTCTATAACCTACCACACATTTGATTTTACAATTTAACCGTGTTCTTTTGTTTAGTAAATCAGTGGCGTTATTTGGGCAGGGAATGGAACTTAAAAATTTGCCACAGTCTAGAGTTTAGCTATTCCAAAATTGGCACATCATCAAAATATGAATACGCCTTTTATAAAGCCATTAACGTCTTGTAAATCAGAAAAATAAAACGTGTACTAAGCAAATTACATGAATACAAAGTACAAATCATATTTTTAGACTGGTTTGACGTCCCCTCCTCAAACGTTTACCGGCACTTTAGTATAATAAGCTGCCCAGTCGGCAATTTAATAAGAGCATGCCAACTGCCCTACTCTAGAAAAAACTGAGTTACGCCACGTTGTAAATATTCGATTAGATACTGACATATCAAATCAATGAGATGTTTTTATTCGGATCTTTTTATTTCTGTATTGAGCCTTTTTTAAAATAATATGATTTAAATGATTTAAATATTAATATTCAACAGTCATAAAACAAATTATTAAAATTGATGATAACTATATTACATATCTATGAAATTAATACTATTAAGTAAAGACAGTATAGTATCTAGACACATACTTGTATAAATAGGAAAATTATACTCATTATTTACTCCATTTTACATGCTTAAATTTTACTAAATTTAAATTATCCGGTATTCAGTCAAAAAAAAATATTTGACCGTATTTTTCGCTTCTTATTTATGATCGGAGACGTTTCATTGTAAATTACTGCGTTCATAATTATTCAATGAACCAGAAAGACTTTACTTTAAATAAATATTAAGTACCTACTTTATTTTAATTTTTTCCGCAAATTTCTGGTATTTTTACGTTATTAATTTAAAAAAAACCATTACTAATATATTATTGTTTATAATACCACATTTTCCTATTTTTATTTTGACATAAATATATAGTACCTACCATTATTAAAAATTCTTGAAGCTCTATCATATTTAAAATATAATCTTAAAAAATATTTTAAATAAATAAATTTACTGAAAAATAAATAAATAAATTACATAAATAATTTACTGTCACAAGTTTTTATTTTAGATATGTATTTTACGGATTATAATTAACTGTAAAATTTTATATTAATAAGTGTGACAATTAAATATAATGCCTACTTGAAATAAATACATAGTTAAATATATTATATGTTTAAAGTACCTATGAATATAATAAGGATATTAATAATGATAATAATGTAATAATATTTACAACATAAATTAGATTTACAAAAATATTCGAAAAAAGTAAATAAAAATACAAGAAAAATTAATAATTTTTCCTCATTTAAGATTTTATGACTTTAGAGTGTCAACAAAAAAATTAAGTTTTAAAAAATAATAAATTATAAAATTTCACCATTTAAAAAAATTAATTTGATACACACATTAGAAGCAAAACCATTTACACTCTACTAAAGATATAATAATAAAATCAATATCAATGCAGAAACGTGAAGAGATGTATCTAACCTACTTATTTTCAACTTAATTTTAACTTACAAACATACGTAGGTACCAATATTATTTAACAATACAAAAAAAAAAAAAGCAGTTAGGTTATAGAATCCTTATTGTTATTGCATTATTGGTTAACATTTTATAAACACAAATATAAAAATTACTGCTTTTATTTATTTTGTATCGTAAGAAAAAAAAATGAATGGCAAAAGACGGTAAATAAAATAGATTTACTACTCACTACATTGTATTTAAAATTGTATTTAATCAAATAATAAATAATAGTAAATACAGTAAGTAAAAATATAATGAGCATACTTAAATGCATAATTTACAAGTTTTAAAAACGTTAAATACCTACATTAACTACAATGTTACGATTGGTCTGAATAAATATCTCGGTTGAATTAATACATTTTAATTAAATTCTTTATACTAAGAATTTCTTTTCTGGTTCCGATGACCTCAAATAAATTTCAATCGCTTGAAAATAAGACATCAGCTCCAGTATATTTTGCAGTGGCGTGGCGTGGTTATTAAAAAGATGTAAGCAGTGATATTTTTTTTTTCAAAAGTTATTAGAATACAATAACTAATCATAATTATGAATAAACAAATTTCATCCTTTTAACATTTTTAATATTTTTAAAAATATACTACTTTATTGTACAGTATATGAATTAAATTTTAAATTATGAACATTATAATTATTATAAACGTGTATCACTTTTAAAATAACATACTGCATTAATTAATCGGCTAACAACATAACGATTATTTTTTATTGTTTCGTTATGTTTTTTGATACTTTTTTCATAAGCTTCACTATGACATGTTTCGATTCTAACAATAGCAAATTTTTTTAAAGTGATTAAACATTCAATATGTAAACAATTGTTTCATGACAATGTTTCAAATTATGATAGTTATTTAAATTATCAAAACCAAATTTTGACAAAACGTTTGATCCACGTGAAAATAAAATACAAGGTCAACAGTAAAGTTAGAATACTTCGATTCAAATTTTTTCTTTAATTCAGGCTCAAAATTTACAAATAAAATTTTTGGTAATATTTAAATCAGGTGAATCCTTAATATTTGTGCTTTTTTTTTTTTTAATCTAATGCAAGATCCACTTAGAATAGACTTTTGTGTAGTTCTTTTTTAACACCATTCTGTGTTTTGAAAGTTTCGCTTGTGCTTCATTTGATATTTCACTAAGTATGGACCAAGACTTAAATCAAAATAATATATATTGTTTATCGTTATGGGACATTTAAACGTTATAAGCAATTGAGCATATAACACTATAAAGAATTTAAACATTATTAAATTTAAGCGTTTAAACGTTATACAAATTCAAACGTTTAAAAAATTTTCCGTTTAGCGTTTTGTGTTATTTACATTAGTGTAAAATTCGAAACGTTATTAAATGTAGTATTTAGCAATCAATACTATGTAAAATAACATTACATATTTTATATATTATATTATATATAGGTTACCTTTAATCACTGGTATATTGATAAATATATGTGTGGGTATACGCACTAAAAAATATGGATATTAATCTTAAAATAAATTTTCTTGCTCCGCTCGACAATTTTTTTTCTCTGAATACCTACGTTCGAAAAAATTTAATTAATCCTTTATAACTATATGTTTATAACTTCTATTAAAACTACAAAATATAGCATCACAAGATATACATTTGTAGCGCGTTATAAATTGCATGATGCAGATTTAAGAACCATGGGCTGAATGTTCACACTCCATACTATTTTATTCAACGTTATTCACTGCAGTTAACAAAATACATTAAACACAGTGTACGCTGTAATCTTCAACAGCTAAATATTTCTATCAATTTCATGGTTCATAACAATTTTTTCCAATGAACTGTTAAATTATTATTAGTTTTTTTGTTTTCCAGTTATTTTAGAAGCGTATACCCGTAAAATAATATTTTACATTATGTATACACCGAAAATCGAAAATCTGCTGTGTATACGTACAAATACGGGGTGTATTATACCTTTAACGATATTTTTTTTTTGTAATTCTCATAACTCTTAACTTATAAATAAAGCAATCATATTTGTTGTATAACAACAATAAAATGCACATATCACGTAAAATACCTATGTATTTATTATCAATTTATAACTTATGTATAGTGTATTACTACTAATGTTTCACCGGTGTTCACCGAAATTATTTTTGATGAGGCAAGCCGCGTCGACAATATCCAACGTATTTTCAGAAAGCATATTTATAAATTATAATTGTTTATAAACGTTTTGGTGCCCTGGTATGGACCATGGCCGTATCCAGCCATTATTTTTGGGGGGGGTTTTCAATTTAAGATGAAACTAGAACATGATTTTTAGAATTTTAACCAATTCAAACCATATTAGTTTTTAGGTTTAAAAATGTACTTATATTATTCACCATATTATATAATATACATTCTGCTTTAATACTTACTACTCGTAAGGTATTTCAATTGACAACCACATTTTACATGTAAATATTTTTATAGTTACATAATTATAATTAGAGTAAGTATATTTAATAATTATTAAAACATGTAACTTACATTTTTTAATTTGACAATTTATAGGATTATTAATTTTAAAGTAACATTATTTTTCTTGATGATTTTGAAAACTGAGTAAGTACCTCTTCTGGATCAACATTGATGTCCCGGTGAACTGACATTAAAGCCAATCCATTGAGGCGTGTTTCACCAGTCGAATTTCTGAGATACGTTTTCAATCTTTTTAAAGATGAAAATGTTCTTTCTGGTGTCGCTGTTGACATAGGCATAGTAACTAAGACTTGTAGAAGTTTCCTTATGTTAGGAAATAAAAGAGGGTTACAATTGTCAAGTCCTGCAATTGCTGTTTTTGGGCGAGATCCTTCTTTTAGCCACTTTGTCTTCCATATTGCAAATTCAGCTTTGAAAGCATTAGGCTCAATCAATATCTGAGAATAAAAGTTTACACAGTCGTTTATTTCTTCATTGGTAGCGATTATACATTTACTTGGAATGATTTGTTGTAATGAACTTATTAAAGATTTGTGTTTCTGAAATCTATCACAAAGCTGTGATCTGATATAGTCGAGAAATGGCAAAAAAATATTAAAATTGTAATACTCTTCAGAGCTATGAGAGGGCACATTACTACGGTGTGTTTGTTTATTAGCGATACGAGGCAAAACAATGTCTTCTTTATTTTTATTCAACATGATGGCAACAACAGAAAACAGGTCTGAAAAATGTTGTTTGTTATTTTCTCTCATTTCGTCTAATACGGCTAACACATCATCAACATGATTGCATGCTTCGACTAAATCAGCATTAATTGTCTGTAGCTGTTTACACAATGTCAATATATACGAAAAAATATTTTCAATTATTACGAGAGGTATAACAAATTTAGCGTCTTTAATTGTACTTAATAACTGACAAGACTTTTGAGCAGTTTCTTTATTTATTGATGACTCCAATTTTTCCAATGCAACAATAATAGCGGGATATAGTTCTTTGAACCGCATGACACTTTCATGCTTATAAACCCAACGAGTTTCACATAATGCAACTAATGTGGTATGCCTTGTCTCTGAAAGAGTTTCGATAATAGTTGTTCTCAATAATTCACTTCTTTGAGCCGATGAGCGAAAAAATGTTCCAAAAGTTTGAATGGTGCTAATACAGTTTCTTATTGAGGGCAATGAACAGGCGTTGGCCAACGCTAGATTGAGCGAGTGAGCACTGCAATGTACATAAAGTGCCATGGGAAAATCTTTTTTTATGTATTCTTGAGCACCATGTAAATATCCACTCATGGCAGAGGCTCCATCGTAACCTTGTCCAACTAAAAATTGACAATGTATACTGTTCTTCTGTAAACACCCCATTATCAAAGTTGCTAGTCCTTTTCCACTAAGATCAACAGCCGGTGTAAATTCTAAAAAATCTTCTCGAATTTTTTTTATCTTTTTGGTCATAATAACGCAAACATACAGACATTTGTTCAATTCTTCCAATATCTGTAGTTTCGTCCGCTAACACAGAAAAGCACTCGGCAGCATTTACTCTTTGGACAATTTTTGACTTGATTATTTCACCACAAATAGAAATTATGTCATTTTGAATACCAGGACTAGTATATAAAGAATTTCTTGGACCATTTTTCAAATGTTCTCCTAGCGTAGTGTCATCCGAATCTACACGAAACCGTAAAAGAGCTCTAAAATTTCCGTCATTAAAATCATTTATGTTCATTACATTTCCATAATCGTTTGATCCACGAAAAGCAATTTCTTGCCTACTACAAAGAATTATGGTTTTTATATTAGAAAGTAAAATTTTTCTATTTTGTTCAATCTGTCTAGAACGTTCAATACTGAGTTGTTCAGTTATATTTTTAGATATTCCTTCATTCACTTTTAAAAAACTATCAGATTTCTCGACACACAATTTGTGATAAGATGTGGTAGCATGTAATTGAAAGTCTTGCAAAGCATTTTTCCAATTAGTATACTCTTTAGAAACAAGTGCACCTAATTTTTGATGGCTACCATTACCTCCTTTTTCTCGAGCAAACAAAACACATAGTCTACAAAATGCTCCTTCAAATAATTGTGAATAACTAAGCCATGGAAATCGTTTTATCCAAGATAATTGAAATCGTAAATTTCTTTTGGTTTTTACAGGGAAAATATATGTTGAAGAAGGAACCCACGGAGTTTTTAAGAGTTCCTCTTTTTTTAAATCGTTAATTTCTAAATTATGGACATAATTACCAATATCATTTACTCCAACTATGGGTGTTTTAGTAAAATTATTGGACATGGTAGAAACAGAAGGAGTATAATTGCTATGCATTGAAGTAAGGTTGTGAATATCAATACTATTTTTGCTAACTGAGGGAAGTTCTTCTAAGTAAGCTTGTTCAATAGAAACATCTTTATTCGAATAATTAATATTAGTAGGTTCAACTGGTTGAAATTCAGAATTTGGATTGTTTGTCTTATCTTTTTTTATTTGTGTAAATGCAGTGATGTCCAATTGTCTTTGAACTCGTTTCATTTTCGGTATTTAATTTTTGTGTATTAATTCTAAAAATAAACATATTGTGCATAAGTGAGAATTCGCCCGTGTTTATAAATATTTTGGAGCTGTTATAACTAAAAATTTTATTTAGGAAATATCTATTTAAAATGTCTAAAATCAACCTAAATGCCACTTAAATTGTATATTGATGAATAAGATAAATGAAGACATTTTATAAAAGTAATTTTTTTGTGACATTAATTTTCTTACACGAAAAATTACAATAATTACAAGATGTGCTACATAATATTATACATATCAAAATAAAATAAATAAATAAAATAAAAGATTAAAATAAATAGGATTGATAAATGATAATATGTATAATTAAAGTTGGGCGTTAATGCATAACTTGCACACTGAATAAACACCACTGATATCTATAATATAGAGACTATGCAGGTACATAATTACATTAACTGTCCAACATATAAACTGGTATAAAATAAATGAGCTATGATATTTTATAAATAATATAACTCTAAAACTATTAAATAAAAAATGGTAGTAAATATACTTACGGAATTCAGATCAATAGAAACGTTTAACAGCAATGTTTACGGCGCACCGCCATGGTGTGTTGTATGACGAGAATCCAAAAGAAAAATGATTCGGTAATCGGTTATCCGAATTAGTTCTATTCGAGTTGAAATTAAACATCGACGATTATTCTAATAAGGTATGTACACTATCAAAATTTGAAGAATACTAAAAATAACTACGTAAATACTCTGGTGCGTCCATATGAACAGCCAAAGCTATGGGCAGGCGACAACGATAACGTCAGTCGTGATCTTATCTCATTGTATACATAGTTTTACCCGTCGTAAAGCAGTGCACTGTTTTAGATTCAATTTTTGCGCGTAGACATTCTCGTAGACAATTCTATTTTATTTACACAATAATAATACGTCTGGGATAATAATTTACCTTATGTGCGACTTAGACGATGGATTAAGAAACACTTTTCTATTGAATTTCAATTGAATACAGAAAAAAAACATCAAGTGAATAGGCAAAAAAAAAATGTTGAACAAATTTTGGGGGGGGGTTTGAACCCGGAAAACCCTCCCCCTGAATACGGCCATGGTATGGACACTAAGTATTGTTATAAAATGATCCACATTCAGTGCCGCAACTACACTATTTGGGCCCGCCTGTAAATAAAATGAATGTCCGGACTCTGCAGGGAAAAGGTACCTTTAATCAATTGTAATCAAACTATTTTGAATTTCGATTATACAGGTCGCAAAAGAAACGTTGATGTACGATAATATGTACAAAAAAAAAAAATCGATTAATTATTGTTCAATCTCCATTAATAATTATCATTACAAAATGGTTTTATTTTCTTGCTTTCTATATACTTTTCAAATATTATAATTGGGCCCGATTATAGCTTAGGGCTATGGGCCCGTGTGTTTGACACACGCAACACACCCGGTTATTGCGGCACTGTCCACATCAAAAAAATTTGAAATGTTTATCTCACATATGATCAATACAGGGGGCGATCGCTCTCATCGCCCCCCCCCTAAAATACGCCCCTGTCCCATAAAGAATGTGATTAGATAATGAGTACAATGGCAAATATCCTATAACTCAAATGTATCAGGCAAGATAAATTTCTTTTTTTTTTTAAATATAATTACAATCTATACAACAATTAAGTACAATAAGTAATTTTGATAGTATTTACATATCGAGAATGACAGATGGAGGAGGGCACTCAGTAGTGCCACCCGATTAGATAATATAAATATAAATATTAGGAAATATAAATTAATAGTTAATAGGCATATTTATACTATACAGTGTTTTATAAAAATGTACTTGCATATTAAAAAAATTTATTTTATAAGTGGGTGTTCACAGATTTTAGTGATTTGGATATACTTGGTGAACTTACTGTAGTCACGGCTGTACAACACTACCAGTCGCAATCTGTGTTGGCAAAATAATAACGAAAATAATAGCTTTATTGAGATCGACAAGTGAAGTGGCACCAAAACTGCTAAGTATTTAAATTATCAACTTTTCTCGATAAAGCAGAGGTGTATTAACAACTAACCACGTATATTTATAAGATATTTTTTTCTTACGGTTATACCATTGGGGCAATGAAAAATTCAGTTATATTCAATTTGAAGAAGTTTGTGTAAACGGATTGATGAACTGCGTCATTTCCATCTCGGTTACATGCTATTTGATATTTTGAAAGAAAAAAACTTAATTATCATGCAAATAAATTTTAGTCAAAATACAATCGTTACCCGTACCTATATAATATTCAAATACTGATCACTGATTAGTATTAAGTAAAAACTATAATACCGATTAATTTTAAATTTTGAAGGAAAATACTCATCAATAAGTTTAAGTTTATTAAGACAGGATTTGTCGAAAATCGCATATTTAATGGTGAAAACAGTTTTTAGTTCAGAGTAAAATTAATAACTTATTTTTTACTTTTTAATTATCTAGGAAGTTTTTATTTTGTTGAATATATTGATTTTACCGGTTATATATAAATTAACATATATACAAATAAATAGAAAGTAAACATTGGAATATTTCAATGCTTTTTCAACCAAACTTTGTTTTAAGAGTCAAAATAATAATTGTTCTAAATTAAAATACTATAATAACTTTAAGACGAGACTGGGTAATTCGGGTATTATTTTTTATAAAAGAAAAAGTGAATATGATAACAATAGGACAGACATTATCAGTTTATTTAATTTAACAAGTCAATATTTTTATTGTTTAATTGTTTTGTAGATGAAGAAAAATGCATACAGTCATAGATAAAATGCAGCAGTGAAAATCAAGGCTAGAATGCTTTTATTTAAAGATGATAAATTGTAAGTGTTGCTTATAAATAATATTCTATATTTAAATTATACATATATACTTATATATTTATATCATTTTAGTTAGAATTAAAATGGGAACTATTTTTTTTTCCCCATAGAATTAAGAGAGGATAGACAAGGAGTCGGCAAGTAATTTACATTGGAGTCCTAAAGATTAAAATAATAAATCAATGAAGTCCAGTGAAAAAATCTTTTTCAAATCTTTATATTTTAAAAATAGTAATATAAAAGTAAAAAGGTTCCAGAGTATTGCCTTCCCTGGTCCAGATCCGGACCGCAGTTCTCCAGTTGCCAACCCCTGGGATACACACGTAAATTTTGTTAATACAAGTTATCTTTGTTTTTACAATTTGTACCTAAATAAAGTTGAAGGCTTCCTGGGACCATGAAACCTGAAGTAATTTTCTGTTTTTTTTTTAAAAAAATAGTTCACAGTGTATTTAATGCATGCTGTAGAGATGCAGTTTATATATAATTTTACACATGCATTACTTCATTTATTGTATATTTTAAATCGAGTTAAATAAATTAAAAAATTAAAAACTCATGCAATTTTTATAATATTAATTTTATGATGAAATGTATTATACTTTTATTGTTTTATCATTAATATCAAATAAATCAAGTTTGTTAAATTTATTAGTAACAATAATTAATGGGTATTTTTTTAATTTTTTTTTTTAACTATATTAATCATTTTAAGTAACCGTGAATAGTGAATATAAAATTGTAGTTTAATTATTTATTTTTAATAGAATCATGTTAAATAGGTATATAAGGTTAGAAGTACAAAAATATTAAGCACAAATATTTTTATAAGAATTAATTAAAGGTAAATTTAAATTAAATGTATTCTCATTCTAATAATCATACCATTATTATCTATTACATTCATCTGATTAAATAGTATTAGGTAAAAACAGATTAAATAAAAATATGTTATTCATTGTAATATTAGATTTCTAAAAAAATCAGTAACCATATAAATAGAATATACTTCAGGAGGTAAAAAAATACTATTTAAATAAATTCATAAATTCTATGTTTAATAGAATATGTGAAAAAAGATAATTCAACCAATATTAGTTGTATATTTTTTATTCTTCTTCTACATTTTCTTCATCTTCATCTGCATCCACGTTTCCATTTTGCATACCTTCCACATCTTCTTCATCATCATCACCAGCAACTTCAGCATTCTCCAATTCAGCTTTCTCCATTTGCCTTACCAAGTCAGCTTCATCACTAGCCGTAACAACTTTCGGCTACAATAAATTGCAATTCAAAATATTTTATTAGTAGTTTTAACGTTTAAAATATTAAATAACATTTTAATCAATTATATTTTAGAATAATAAAATAAAGGGGCAGGAAAAATTAATGACCTAAATAAAATTTTTTTTAAAATTTGAGAAAATGCCACACCCGCATATGATATCTCCATCTTACAAACGTACAACATAATAATTTGAGTTCAGTAGTTCAAATATTGGGCTGTTAGCCTTAATATTAAAGTAAATTTTGATATTATTAAATATAAATAGAATAATTTGTGTTTTAATGGTAATTTTTTGTGATATTTAAATTTTTAAATGAATTACAAGTATGTGAAATATAATAGTCACTTAAAATTAAAATATTGTACAAAACCGATACTTTAATATTAAAGCTAACATCACAAAATTTGAACTACTGAATACTTGGTATTTTGTACATTTGTAAAATGGAGATTTGATAGGAGGCATTAAACAATTTTACTTCTTAAAGAGACAGCAGCTTAAATATTGAAAATCTCTGATCAAAAGGATTAAAATAAAATTGCATTATTGTAAAATAATTTAAGAATACATTTTTGTTATAAATTGATTTACCGGCATTTGAATTTTGAATACACCACCAAGAGAAACAATAGATTTATCAATTTCTTCAATAGCTGTTTGTAATGCTTTTAAGCCATCAGTTTTTTCGGGTGTAGCAGTAGTCATTACTAAAAAAAATTATGCATGGATATACTTTATACTATGGTTAATATAAAAATTTTATATCAAAATACTTAATAAAGTAAAATAAATATTTAGATTAAAAAGTTATACCTCAAAACTAATTTATACAAAAACTACTGTTTAACAAGCTTATGCTTGTTTTTGCCTTTTAATTTATTAATGTTAATATTGTTATTAAAATTTAGTATAGTTTACCATATAATGGTGGAGCAATTAAATTTATTTTGATTGGAAGTTCTTCTGTTGAACATGCTAGACCACATTTTAATGCTGTTTTAACAGCATCAATTCCTTCATATCCATAACAAGCAACTTCAATATCAGCTCTTATTTTAACAGCTTGAGAAGTTAATTTACGTTTAATATTGTTAAGTAATACATTTTGAGTGTTTTCATCTAATCCACATTCTGCCAATATAGAAGGATCTCTAAAATAATAAAAGATCAATCAATAATCCCAACAATAAAATATTATGGCAAATAGATAATAATGTAAATAATAAATAAAGGAAATTAAATTAATCAATTTAAAATATTAATTAAAGTTTAAAATTATTATTAGGTATGTATTAAATATATGCCATTTAGACAATGTACAAAAAATATAAAATAAACAATTATATTGTTAATATGTCTAACCTAAACAGACAAATAGAGTATTTTTTTTTAATTTATTTAAAAAATAAAATAAAAATACACATTTAAAAATAAAATTATAAAGAATGATCTACAAGTAAAATACATTTATTTTAAAAAAGTATAAATTTAATTGTATTGTAAATTGCTACTTAACTGTAAAATTTATTATTCAACTAATAATAAATATGAATAATCTAATAATTATAAAATGTATTTGACTTACTGAACTGCTTGTTTAAAAAAATCATAAGCAGATGACTTCTTCTTTGTTCGTTCTTCATAGAACCAAGCTGTTTTATGGTATAGTTCTTCAAACTGAGCATCAGATTCAAAATTTAAAAGTTCAGCAACATGCCGCAAAATGGAATTAACCGCTTTTGCTTTAGCAAATCTTTCCGTACACTTTTCTATGTCTTCTGGAGAAACTCTTCTTTTACTCAAATCAATATAACCTATACATTAATAAAATAAAAATATAAGATGAATATTTTAAAAAATGACAAAATTTTAAAACCCTGTATGACCTTTTTCTTTGTCTACACGAATGACAACTACTGGTTCAGTCTTGCCTATACGAATTAATTTATTGATGGAACGAATACGCCGCCTGGACAATTCTGACAACAATATCATGCCTTCAATGTTATTGTACTCAAGTAGATGCACATATGCACCCATCTCTTCAATACTTCGTACATTGACCATGACAACATCATCAATTTCTGGATAACGTTCAGCATAAAATCGACACGACAACGGCATTTTAACCTAATAACCAGAATATAATAGTATAATACACTGGGTATGATTAATACATAATGTGGTAAGTATGTATATAGTCAATTACACAACTTACTTATCTAATTAAAATGAACAAATAAATAATTAATCTCTATTGAATTTAATAAGAAAAATAAAGTAATATTCAAATTTTATGATTCATACAAAATAAGATGGACCTGACATTTTTTAGCAAAATTTAATCTAAAATATACATGAATATTACACCAATAGTACTGAAGCAATCACAAGATGATTAAATTCCTCAATTCTAAAAACATAACCTCACACTGTAACTATGGTCATATAACGTCATACGTTATACGATATCTTCCATGATATATATATTTTAGCGCCAACAGAGTTTAAATAATCCTCAAAATAAATAATATTTAAATATTAAACATTTAATTAAAAATTTACAGTCAATAATATTATGTTCATATTATATAGTTACATTTTTCAAAATAATATCCATTCATCTAAGTTGTTTTAAAATTTATTGATATTTTTCATTTTATAATACACTTCAGGACCAATTAATATAATATATTATATTTATAAATATATATATATTTTTTTTTTCATATGATAATTGATAAAATGTTCTTCATTTATAATAAAATACAAAAATATCTTACATTTCCGAAAAACATATTACAAAATCAAATTTCTGACATCATATTTGCCTACACTTGTTTATCAAAAGTTTCATAAATCTTCATTAAAACTATGATTGAATTAATTAAAGGAATAACATATTTTATACTTACTTTATATATTTTAATTTTACCCGTACAAACAGTGGCGTATTTGAGGAGGCAATAGGGGTATTCCCCCCCAAGACTTCATTTTTTACTCTTTTGCGGAAGCTGTAATTATTAATTGGATTGGCTTTGCTAATAATTCATAGGCACAGGGACATCAGGGCAAATGTAAACTGGGCCCGCCATTACCTTTTTTGTTGTAAATTCGGCCCGAAAATTGTAGGTAATAAAGTAGGTAGATTGTAAACTCGGCTCGGAAATTTCAGGTAATAAAAAAGGTCGGTTGTAATCTCGGCCTGATATTTACAGGTGAAATAAAATGGCGATGAATAAACCGCAAATGTACAGCTTTTTTAAAAACATTCGAAGTAAATAATGATATTACGGAGAAAAATTATATTCAGTATGCTAAAAGGAATGTATACAACGACTCCTCGTGGTGTCCTCTGGGTAATGGTAAATGGTTCTCAAAATATTATAAGAAGTTTATACATATGTACATTTATATCCGGGCCAAGTTTACACCTAAATTATTTTTACCTGCAAAAACCCCGGGCCGAGTTTACAATCGCCTGTTTGAACCAGTGTCTAAAATCCTAACCGAATAAAAAAAAAAAAGAAATAAACTATTGCATTTAAATTTCCTTATACTGTAACAGTAAGAGATTTTTGTATTTTGCACCCCCTGAAAAATTATCCCTAATACGAGTACGCCACTGCATACAAATAATGACAAAATAAAATAATCTGATTACAAATCGTTATTAAAATACTAACTCGTCTAAACATTTTTATCAATTCCTTGTGAGATTTTAATCTGGACAATAAAATGTCCAACTATATAAAAAAACACATTTGTACATAATATAGTTAAAATTTACCATTAATATAAAGTATGGAGCATGTATTCTTCATCGTATGTCATATCTTACAGGTTATGTTTATTATACAACCAATATTTTCAATTAATGAAATTTTTCTACAAACTTTTCAACATTTAAATAAATTTTACGTTTTTATAAATTTATGAATACATACTTATTTAAATGCATTCTTATATATAGTATAATAGTGGCAATAATGTGGGCTGAATACTGCAAGGTAATCATTTTAACAGAAGACACTTACCTTAAATATATTATGTAAAATGTCTAGTGTTAAACTAATTACTCTATCCAATACTTGCATGAAGTAATTATAGTTCTTATATTCCTTAATAATTTGATCTTTGATTCTTGCAAAAAAATGGAATCTCCAATTATTTATATAAAATAATTGATCAACATAAAATACTATTGGTACTACAAAGAAATATATTCATATTGGTAGGAAACGTATAGCCAGTGCTAAATCTAGAAGTGTAACATAAGGTTATGCTTACCCCAGACGCTGTTAATATAAGGGCGCTCTTAAGTTTATGAAAAATAAAAAGTCATGCACATACCCCGTACTTCCAACTAGTAAAGGAGCTGCATTTGTATTAACACCGGGAATCAAATTTTCTAGATCCGGCACTGCTTATAGCCTATAAGTACTAAACTTAAAATAATATTTTAACGTATTATGTAATAACCAACACTTCAAATCCAAGGAATTATAACTTCTTTATGGGTAATGGTAATCAAAGTAATACATTTGTGTAAGATATAACTATAAATATTAATTCAGAATAATATCCCTATCATGATGTTAATAGTTTGAAAAATTCAATATTCAGTTTTTTATACTGAGCTGGTAGACAGTTTTGATAGTATTATTTAAAACCTTGCTACGAATTATAGTATTAAGCATTTTGTCTTTTAACAGATTTAATAATTTTTTTTTCACAATATATAATAAATACTGATTTTTTGTAAGTAAAATTATTTATTTTTTATTTCTTACACCTTTTTTTTGGTAAAATACTTCTGAATTAATCAGTAAATTATCATAACTTCATTTTTATTATAAGTCCAAGCGATTAATAAGTAATTTCATTTTGAAAAATGCATAACATAATAATACGAGTATTAAACGTATTAAATTTGATAATATTATAATTAATACATATTTTTACTTACGTGATATGGACGTATATGGTACCTAAATATACTAATATTTGTCTAAATAATTTTCAATAAATTATACAAAAGGTATGCGAATACTTAGTTGTAAATATTACTATTATTATATATTTAATTGCAACGGATTTTACAAATTACTAATTACATAAAAAGAAATTTAATGTTGTTTTTATGATACTTATGTAAATATTATAAAATATAAGAATTTATTTAAAAAATACATTATCATCAAGTTTTTAAGTTCCGGTTGATTAGTTAAGACTAAGGTTAAAATGTAATGTAATAGGTACTCATATATTATTGTAACTATGTATACAAATTAATATTCGCATCACATAATTTTAGTCTTGGGATAGATACTTTTGTTGGATTAAAGCCAATTTAAAATATCAACTCACAACTGCCAATAAGTTTATCATATTCCGATTTCCGAATGGTAAAGGTATAATCCAGAGGGGTTTTGCCTTTATTGAAATCAGGCATCAGTATATTTAAAACTGAAATAACGTAGACAAGTTTGTTGTTTAGACAAGTTTTTCACGACTTAAATCTTCAGTTTTAATACTTTTAAAAAATATCTGGGATGTACTCGTATATCCAAATGAAAATTAGAAATGTACTAATTATTAGTTGATTTAACATTTATAACGTTTCATATCAACATCAAGATAACCTATGAAATTAAAAAAAATATTAAAGATCTAACCATCCAAAGGCAAATTTATAAATTGGTGAAACAGCTAGAGAGATTAAGAAAAAAACGATTCGAAAAATATTTATGAAATCACTTTTTTGGGAAACTACAAATTTCGATTATTTATATATAAACTATTTATGTTTGTATAGTTAACTGTATTATTGTCCACAATTTTTATGATAAGTAGCGGTCAAGAGCGTAATTAAGGGGCGAGGGAATAGATCACCTCCAGGTACTTATTTTTCTAATATTTTGCAATCATTTATATTTTATACTTGTATTGCAATTACTTACATCGTCGCGCTATAGATTTTATATATATATATATATATATATCACACGTCTGTGCTTTTGTGATTGTGTACTGTATAAATTTTTGAAACATTTATCATTATTCTTCAGTTTGAACAGTACCTAGTAACTACCTATTACCTACTAAAGTCATATATTTTGTCATTTTATTCCTAAAATATATGAAGTGGAAAATAATTGAAAAAATACAATAGCGTCTTATTTTTCCAAAAAAAAAAAATATATGTAGCAATTATCATGTCTGGAAAATTCCAACGTGTACAAGCAGATCCAAGTACAGTGGGGCGGTGATTATCCGCACTAATTGGGGATGCGGATAATCAAATAACCATTAGAAAAATTAAAAATAAAGTCAAAAATTAAATTACTAGATATAATCCAAAATATAATATTTATATATAATATAAAAAATTTAATAAAATAAAAACAAAATAAAATTATAACGCATTTCATAATATGTACACGACAAAAGGAACATAACGAATGATAACACTAAATTAAATTAAGTTAAAAATTAATTTATACACAACAATTTTGTAGTGCGGATAATTGACTTTCCACTGTATCCCAAAGCTGTGTATATTTATTGTGCAACCCATTCCAATAATTTAGCAGTTTAAACTGCTAGTAACATAAAATCGATTAGAAATTGTTTAGGTCATTGAAAAATTAGATATATTTTTTATTTAATACTCCTAAACGAAATATTGTTCTTTTGTCAGCTATTGAAAATATTGTCATTTACTATATAACCAATATGATATATTTATATATATATATAATACAATGTACTATATAGTATACAGTAACATTGTTATTATTATTTACTAGATTAAATATATATTTAAGTAAAAAGTAAAGTATTCTATTGATACAATGTCAAAAGACAGCTAACCTTACTTGTTAGCTGTTATCTATCGACAGCTGATCCGAATGCACTGTGTTACAACATTGTGACCAACATATAGTGTTGATATCATTAGAAATTTCCGAGAAGTGTTTTTTATTTTTTTTATTTCATAATTTGCGTTCTTCGCGTTAAAATTGTGACACATAATTATGTCAACCATTATATGTCGTTAAGTTTAAGTGATAGATGTAACTAAATGCCAAGGATTTCCATCGACCATGTCTTCTGAAAATTTGGAGATAGTACACGAAGGATGGTTGACAAAATCACCTCCTGCAAAGAGAGTTCTCAAAGCAGTCAGTGTAAAATTAGTAAGTTCTATTCCTATTTTTATTCATAATTATTTAAATTTAAATTTCTACATTGTGATATGAACAATTGTGTCATGTCAGAATATACTAAATATTATTTTTTTTTACTTTGAAATATTAGTAAATCATAAAAATTTAAATAGATTAGAAGCATATTTAAAGACTTATTTTTGATTTTCTAAAAATTGTACATTTTTTAAATAATATACTTAGTGTTAAATAATAATTATAAATATAATAGATTTTAATTAGGTATTTTTACATTACTCAACTATTAAAAATTTATTTACAAGTTAATTTTTATGTATTGATTTTTTTTTTTTTTTTTTTGAATTGTGCTGTGTTTTTATATATTCATAAGAAATTTAGTCAAAAATCTTAATTTTCATAAGATTATATTAAATATTAAAGGAAAAATTTAACATTAATTTTTTTTTTTTGAGATAGCAACCTAAGTCAACTACAATAAAATATTTGTTCAAATTAAGTCTACTCTGAATTATATTCAGCCTTCTCTAAAATGTTTTATGGAATTTATTTTTATTTTCTTGATATACCTACATAATATTTTAAACATGATTAGGTACATTTTCTGTTTATATTTACTTAATTATAAATTGTGTATTGATAGTTAAATTTAGTGTTCATGGAAGCATGATAGAGGGAGGGATAAAGCTTTTTGATTATTAGTACTTAAATTTCATATTTCAAAATTATAGTGACACTTATGGTAATTTATTAAATATGCCAATTATTTTTCAGTAACTTTATTGTAGAATAATAATTATTATACTTAATTCATTACAAAAATATAAAGTATTCATGTTTATGAACCTATTATGTTCACATCAAATATTATTAAATTGTATTTTATATTTAACATTTTTATAGATAACTCAATTACGTATTATGATTTATATTTTGCTAGATTATAATTATGGTTTATAAAATAAGATATTTATAATTTAATTTTTAATTTTTTAATAGAAATGGCGTAGAAGATGGTTTGTGTTACGTCATTCTGGTGAATTACCTGGACAATATTTTCTTGCTTATTATACAGATAAAAGTCGCAGAAAAATGAAGGGACGAATTGATTTGGATCAATGTGAACAAGTAAAATTTATTATTTTAATTTTAATATTTTTATAAGTGGTTAATTAATAGTTTGGTTTAATAATTATTTTTTACATAATCCATATAAGTTTTCTTGCAATCGTTTAAAAATTTATTTGTATATTAGGTTGATGCTGGATTAAGATTTGAAGATCGCAAATCTAAATATCATTATATGTTTGATATAAAAACACCAAAAAGAACGTATTACTTAGCAGCTGAATCAGAAGAAGATATGAACAAATGGGTTGATTTTGTGTGTCATGTTTGTGGCTTAAAACCATTTACTGTTGATGAAAATGCTGGTAAATATTTGATTTAAATGAACTAATTTTATTTTTTTTTTAATTATTTATATTTTATCTTAGACTTTGATTGCCCATCTGTTAATAACATGACCAGACCATTTCCTATTAGTGTTGAAGAACATGATGAAGAACATTCATCTCCTGATTCTCCAACTAGCACATCTTCTAGCCATTATATACCTATTAGTGAGTGTATATCTGGGAAGCCATTACTACCAATTCTTCCTCGTTCAACCATAGAAGAATCTTATGATTTACCACGTCGCATACGACCTACACCAAGACTTTCAGAATCACCTCCACCAAGCCCTGGTTCAGAATCTGTTTTCACTGATGATGATTCAGTAAATGGTAGTACATTAGGACGACCATCTGTCAATTGGAGTACATTCCCTAGTTTATCACAAAACTCACCAGACTTGCCTGTAGCAGCCAATAGAAGGTTTACCAAAATATTACCAGATGGTTCTTTAACAGCACCGCCACGGCCACCAAAACCTTCTCATTTATTAGAAAATCCAACCCCACCAATGAAAACAGAAAAAATAGTTGAATCTTCTACTGTTGATGAAACTTATGACTTTCCAAGGTCTCATCAAATGACACCAACTCAGTCACAATCAAGGACAAATCGTTATATAAATACAGCTCCAGGTCAAGTACCTGGTAATATTTTTGTATATGAATTTGAAGAAGATGGTATGCCAAAAGAAGTTGAAGAAGGCAAGAGTGCAGAATTGGAATCTCCAAGTTCTATAAATTCACCTTCTGTAATTGTTTATGCGAGTTCAGCTTCATTAGAACAAACTCCTCCTGCTGTTAATCGCCAATTAAAACCAGGCAGAAAATTTTCTGATACTTCTGCTGAGCTTTCACCATTGGCACCTATGGCTAATCCCCCAATTGTTAACCGAAGACTTAAACCAACAACTCAGATTAAAAAAAATCAAGAATCTTTTGCTGGTAAATATTTATATGTTGTTTATATATACATCTATATTAAATTGTATAAATTACTTTTAGATACAACTAATACTCTACGATTATGTCCTCCACCAATGGGCAGCTTAAGCCGTCAAAAGTCACGTATGGGACCCAACACTATTCCTACAAGTTTTGAACCTCAAAGTCGTATTCATAGGCGTCACTCAGCATCTGATGATCACATAGCTTCAGACAAAGTAATATATAAATATATTTTTTATTAATTATCTAATGTATCTTGGTTAATTGAGCTGCCTATGTATTAAAATGTCCTACTTGTTCAAGCATTTGATTCCCTGCTTGCATATTCTTCAAATTCGGTCTAATTTTTGACATATTATATCTTAACATTTTTTGCCAGTTTATAATCAATTATTTTTTTTAGAAGCATATAACCATCTCTTCCGGTGCTTTTTCCAAATTGCGCTCAATAATGACTAATAGTGTAATATCATCAGCAAATCTTATGTTAGATATTTATGTATATATATTCCACCCACTTTTCTGCCTACTTAATTTTTAATAAATGTTTCTCTAATTTCTTTAATAGACTGTTTGACATAAATATTAAATAGTACTGTTGAGAGTGGACTTCTTTGTCTTATGCCCTTCCTAATTCTAGCATTTTTTGTTTTGTCTATTGCTTTTATTGTAGCTGATTAGTCTTATTATACTTCTATCTCTGTAGTCAACTCCTATTCCTTTTAAAGTGTTGGATTGGTTTTTCATAGTACCTTATCAAAATTCCTTTTCAAATCTATAAATGTTTTAAATGCGTCTTCACTGAATTCAATTGTTTTATACTAATATTTTTAAACTTAAAATTGCCTCTTTTGTACCGTTCTTTCTTCTGAACTTTTTCTACTATGTTCTTAATTCAATTGTATATTATTTTTACTGCATGTGCCATTAAACTTATCATTTTGAATTTGTTACATTTATCAATCATTGCTTTTTAAAGTATATATATTATAATGCTTCCTTCAAGTTTTCTGAGATCTCTTTCGTAGTGTATCGTTCAGTAATTTAAATAGTTTGTCCTGTAATTATAGCCAATAACAATTTGTATTTAATAATACATTTTTATTTTTAAATATGTTAACAAGCAAGAAAACAAAACGCCAATACTTTTCATAGTTAAATCAAAACTTAACATATTTTTATGATCAATTAATTTTATTATACATGTTCAATTATTTTTAAATTTTTTATGAACTTTAAAATTATAAATTAATTTCTCTTCAAATTTCCTAGACTAAGGCAAAATTTTACTACCCTTAAAGTTTATTTCCCTAAGTTTAAACCAATTTTTATTGCTTGTATTGCGGTTTATTTGATTAAGTTATTTTAATTTCACACAAATAATTGTATTAAATAAAATTGCAAACTTGATAAGAAAGATATAGGACTCCACAAGAGCTATTGTTGTAGCCATAAGTTAATTTAAATGTAAAATTTAAGAAATTTTATTGTATAGTCGTTAGATAAAGTTTACTTTATTATGTTATCTAACATCAAATATTTACAATTTATATATTAGTGAAAATATTAATTTTATAAATTTATAATTTTAAGGTGTCTTCATATCAAATCAACAAGATATCATCAAATTCACGTTACCTTGCTGAAGCAAGCTGTTTTAATGATATTCAATATTTAGATCTTCAATTTGAATCTTGTGAAAAACAATATTCAGCAAATAATCGAACAGCAGGAAGAACAATGAGCAAGAAAAAACCTTCAAATGTAGGTGGGCAATTTGCTACTTTATTAGGTAGGCGTGATTATTCCATGATTGATGGCGCATACCAATATAAAACTGTAGATTTCTTGAAAACAAATGCTTTGTTAATGACCAGAAAACGTACTGAACAAGAACGACAACTAGGTCGACAAAACATGGTCAATTAATTTATTATAGGTGCTCAATTGTAATCATTAAATGCTTATCACATATTTAAAAATAAGTCTAAGTAATAACTGAGCAATTTTGTTGTCCCTAACATTTACATATCTTATAGGTCAATTAAAGCTTTTATTGTAGCTTGTATACTATTCAGGGCTTTCATGTTGAAATTATATAAATATATTAATATTAACACTATGAGAAGTTATTCATTTATATTTTATTAAAGACAAATATTTTTTTAATAATTTTTCTCAAATCACATATAATTTATTTGCTTTGTGAACTAAAACTACTAATTTAACATATTTTGGAAAACATTCAACATTTTTAGAAATACAAACAAAATATTTTTATTAATTATGTTTCTTATTTTTAATAGCATTTTTATGACTTAAATTTTGAAGAATATATAATTTAAAGAGATATAATCAATTAAACAATTGAACTATTTTATAACAAAATCAAAATATTTATTGAACTTATAGCATATTTTTTTATGAGACATAATAAAATCATTTTAATGGGTCATAGAAGTTCACAAAGTAATTAAGATTTAAAAGGTTTATACATTTTCTAACATTATTTTTAAACTTCATAAATTAATTAATTTATCTATATTAAAACATTGGTTTACTTACATGTTTGTGATATTAAGTACATGTTCATAATAAATTAAATATTTTCATAAGGTATTGCCATTTAATGTGTAATTGTACAAGTTTATATCTTGAACTTTATAATATTATTATTATAAATTTAATATAATAATCATATTATTATTTTTATGAATTTAAATAAGTTAAATCACATGTTATATGTTAAGTTTGTGTTAGTGTGTGTGTATGTAGACAAACCTTAGGTAACAAATCCACACTTCTTACTTAATTTTGTATTTCTTATTATTCGAAACATATTATTATGTTTTCACATAATGACATAATGACACATGTTGTTACAATGATCAAATATATTTTTTTACTATTAACAATATCTATTAAATAGATAAATAGAAGCATTATTACTAACTTAATTTTTTTGACATTTAAATGTGTTAAAAATGTATAGACAGTTTAAATTAATTTAATTAACTGACACATAAAATTATTTTAAATTTCTATTCAGTTCTCTGAATTATAAATTAATACCACAAAGCTTCAAAAAAATATTAATTTATTTTCCAAGTCATAAAAAAAATTATTTTTATGTATCTGTTTAAAACTGTCTATTATCTAATTATTTGATCAGTCACCAGATATTTGACTTTATTTTTATTAAAAAAAAAAAAATTAACTCAAATGTTTTGTATATTTATACACCTTTGTTATGCAGTTATGCATTTTAGTTAAATTTATGTTTCTCATTAAATTATGTATATATATATATATGTTTAAAATTTATTATATGATTATTAATATTTTGGCTTATGGACCTTCTTATTAAGTTATTCTTGTTATTCATTTTTTAATATAAGATAATCTCATTAAAAATATTTATACTTAATATTAATTATATTTACTTATACCATAGTAAAATTTGAATTATTATTTTATTTATTATATTTGTACTCATTTTCAAATGTTTAACTACCTAATATGTTCATTATTTTTATAACGTTTATGTATAATTAAAAATACTACCTACATTAATAAGTTTCGGCAAAATTATATAGCCTAAGTTTTTCTGATATATTTTAGACTGTTAAAATTATATATTTTTTAAAGTTTATACGTATTATAATTTTTATTAAAATTACCAAAACAAATATATACAATATACTTATATTATATAAAATATATTTTATTTTATAATGCCAATATGATTTTATTTTTTTATCTATGCCCCAACTCCTTTTAAAACATATTTGTCTCATGTGTGTTACTATAATTTTTAAATTACTAAACATAGTCTTTTCATTATTGTATGTACACCTGTATAATTATTTTAATCTATTTAAACACCATATTATCTAAACAAGAACAGCGTTAATAATAAATATCTGATGTATATATGGGGCAAAAATATCGTCTTTTAGTTTTACCTACATAACAATCTCTTATAAATGAATTAATGTGATACAAATATTTTGTTATTATCTTAATAATATTTAAAATCACTTTGGTAGTGTTATAGCAACAAATTTTAAAAGTAAGTATTTATTTTTATTAATTAATTTCTATCTTTTCGAAAAGGTCCCTAAACTTTCACCAATTCTCATTGAATGAGTCGTTTTACATAAAAAATGATAAGAAAAAATATATTCAGATTTGTGTTCTACTTAATATTATAAATTATTATAATCCTGCATATATTTATGTAAATTACGTTTTACTTATTTAGTCCAACTTGGGCCACTATTATTCAACCAGGGTTCAAGTTATACTTAAGGTAAATTTAAACAAGTTCATTCCATTAAAATAAGACTAACCTTATATAATTTAGTCTAAATACTACCTACATTTATATTTTTAATTGCGTACAGATGGATAAATGTTGGATATTATTTAATACCTGACATGAATGTTATTATTTTTTTTTTTAATGTTATTTAAAAATTATCAGATTTATTTAATTGGTTAACAAGAATGTTTTTATATGTCTATATACTCACCAGGTACAAAATATAATTGTTCAATTCAGAAAATTATTTAGTATTTTTCAAAAAATTTAAATAGTGTCCCATGTTGGTTTAAATAAAAGATAAAATAGGTTTTTCATAAGGAAAACGAATATTCCATTTTGTCGAAGTTCTGTACAACATGGGACAAGCAAAAAAATAAAAAAAATCCTTAAAAAGAATAATTTATATGATTCAAATGCAACAGAAATCAATAAATCAAACTTTAACTAAAAAAAAAAAAAAAAAATGTTACATTGAACATACTTGTAGATTAATTAATCTTAAAATTATTTATAATTGAATTTCAAAATTGTCCCAAGTTTGGCCATTTGACAGTACCTACTTTCTTCAAAAGTTCCAACTTCTTGTATATAGTATATATTTAATGTAAATTAATTTTATTAATTTCTCAATTACTAAAATTTTAAGTCCAAATGCTATAATATTATGATCGATGTGAAAAATAAAGGTGTTCATCTCAACAAATTATTAGAAATAAAATAAATTAATTTTATGGTTAAAATAAGTAATTGTAAAGTATTAATAAATAATTTATAAAAAATTAGCTTCTGTGTTGATTATATAGTTCACACATTTTATAATAATAAATGTATTTGTACTAAAATGTCTACTAGCTGTTTACAATGCTAAATTGACTATCTATGCATTTTAGTGTACCTACCTAGTTGTATTTATAACTATGCAGTTAATTTTTTTCAGAAGTTTAATTGCATAGTTATAAATAACTATAATAATAATAGTTAAAAATATGAGCAATAAAATTTATAACTCAGAAATTTATTGCTCATATTTTTCCTTGATAACTTCATTATTATAATGTAAATTTTCAATGAATTATAGAATTCCCGTGAAACTTTTGATATCCGATATTATTTCATTGTTATTAATACAAATCATTTTGTCCATATTAATATATAACTTATTAAAAATATAAATTGTGAAATATAGAGAATAAATAATTTAACTTCGAAACTGTAAGAATATTTGAAATACATATAGGTTTTAAAAATAAACATTTTAGTCATTAATAATTTTAAAAATTATGATCATACTTCTTATAGATTTAGGCTTCGAAGTAATATTTTTAGAGGCTATGATTTATTAACCCTGTTAAAATTTCTAAAATTTCGTGTACTGGTTTGTGCTCACTTCTATGGATTACGGTAAAGCAATTAATTTTTATGTTATAATTTGTATCCATGCAGTTATAATAATGACGTTATGTGGAAATTTCATTTCAAATACTTAACTTTATTCCAATTACCAATGAATTGATTCCAATTTCAAAAAAATGTATGAAAATAAATTATTAAAAACTAGGTATTGTTTGACTCTGATAATTAGGTTTGAATACAAGAGGTGATCAGATCGGAGAGATCTAAGTAATTGAACATTGGAATGGTCGTAACTAATCAACAAATAAGTGATAAAAGAATCTGGATTACAATGCTTATTGTTTTTTGTTTGACAAAATTAAATAATGATAGCAACTAAATTAATAATAATAATATTTACTGATGTTGATAAATCAAAATAGTTAAATTATAACAATGTACTATTAATTGGTAGGGTCTTTAGGCCCCTCAATGTAGATACGTCATAGCTTAATTATCACTTACTAAAAAAATATAATAAACATATTTTTGTTCATCACTTTATGTAATAAGTTACCTATAAACATGGTCACTCCTTAGTTGAATTAATAACAATAGAAATGATTAGTAAATACTAAATAGTCTTATATACTTTGACATGTTGATATGAAATTGACAAACACTACGTGCGATGAACGGTTATTTTTTTTATATTATATTTAAGCCTGCTTGTTTTTAATTTACTTTGTCAAATCTTAGGCCAGTGATATTAACGATGATTTGATTGTTAATGTTTTTCTACTTCATATAAAAGACAATCGATTTTTGATTGCAGACGACGTAGGTACATATAAATGGTGATATAATTTCAATTGTTTTCTCTGAGACGATTAGAAAAATGTTAAATTCAGCAAGATTAATATTTAAAAATTTGGTAAGTTTTAAAATGATTAAAATATTAATATAAATTCAATAAAAACGAAAAAAATATTATTATATTTTGAATCTTAAATTTTATAATAGTTTACATATATGACAATAGGTACTTTGAATACTTTGGTACTTAATAGAATATTGATTATTTATTTATAAATTTAGGAGAAGTTTAATGTCCTACGCGTAAATAATATATTTATTTTTATGAATTTTTAATATATTGTTCAAAATAAAATGAAAGTAAGTTGAAGATATTCTATTTTATATTCTATATTCTTATTACATATCAATGCAATTTAAAATGATTATGACTACAACAGATATTTCTAGTGTTTCCATTTTATACTTTTTACTTCTATGATTTTTATTTTGCTTCACCTTGTTTTACAATAGAAATTCTTAGATATTATTGAAAATATTGTTGTAAATTTAAATTATTGTTAAAATAATGAAATGAATAAAAAAAATGAATTATATATTCATATAAATGTTACGGAACACTTGAGATTGTCCCACGAAGCTTTTAGGTTCCGTGGAACACACTTTGAGAATCGCTGCTTTTTTAGGTAAAAATAAATACTTTGAACATTACAACCTTCAAGTTGATATCATTAATTTTTTTTTTCTAGATGCTTAGTATTGAATTTAATTATTTGTGTACCTATACAAAAACTGGTGTCGATTGCAACCGTTTGAAACGATCATATACTTGTATTATGATTTCGTTAAATTTTTTTTAACTTAACTGATTTTTAAAATGTAATTTACTAAATAATACTAGTTATTTAATAATAAGTACTTAGTTACTAAATAATTTACTTAGATTGTTATTAGTTATACACTGAAATATATGTAGAGTGTACACAAAATTATATGGAATATTACTATGCTACAAATTCTTTGGAGTTTGAACCTCAGAATTGTCATTGTTAAACCTGGTTTCATTTGTTTCGTTACGATTATAAAGTATTTTTAATTTATATCCTATAATTTATAAATTATAACTGTATCGATATGTCACGTGTCAGTTATAAGATGGCACCATACTTAATATATTTAAATTTAAATATACCATAGAAAAATTAACAGTAATAATGATAAATGTTCATTTTAAGTCCAGGAAAACCAGTTTTTATAATAATTCAATAATTATTTAGTGTTATATAAATAATTAAACTACGAGTTTACTTTGAATTAAATTCATTTTTATGATTTTTTTGTGTGGAACATTTATTATGTCATAGAGAATTGCCGTCAATTGTCGCGTGAAGTTTGTTCATTGTGGCAATAATTTTATAATAAGCAAAAAATTATTTGAGAACGAACGACATACGCAAAATAAAGATGTCAAAGATACAATAAAGGTAAAAATATAGAATATTTTATTACTTATTTATATTTTTAACTAATTTTAATTAACTTCGATGTATGTCAAGATAATTCATCCCGGGTTAAGACCTAATACTGCATAAAATATAATTATTTAATAACCATCCAAAATCATCAATAACTTAGGTTTGTTAATTTATCAATAGAAACTTGTGGTAATTTGATATGGTAGTGCGATAAAAAAAATTATTGAAAGGGCAGTAGTCTTACGCCTCTATTTATCTTGGGTGAATACTAAATTTGTAATTTACCACATCTGTAAAAATTGATTTCGACGCCACTGAAGCACTGACCAACATTAATACTTAAATTACTCACAGAATATATTTATTTACAAGGTAGATTCATCAAAATAAATAATAATAATGCAATGGAATTCCCTATTGTTGAAATGAAAATAAATTAGCTAATAATAACTTTATCTGTATTCCATGTACAGTGGATTTTCAATAAAATATAGATATTAAATAATAATAAAAAATATGAAACATGATTGTTATCACTGATATGGATATCGAGTACTTTTCCAGTCATTGGTCGGAATTTTTTTAGCTTTTTTTTTTTTAACAGCGAAAGTTATTAGAAATTCGATGTTATTATCTTTATTGGATATTAAGTTTAAAATTACAATTTACTAATAATAGCTTTGATACTTAAGAATGTGAGTTTTGCTTTATCATGCTTTTCTATTTTATTGAGTGGTCTTTATTTAGTTCAGGTCGTGGTGTTTTTGAAGTATATTGTGTACACTCCTTTACTATGTGTTGATAGTTAATGCTTTGTGGCATGTGGAATTTTGGTTGATGCTCTTTTCTAATCAAGTACAAGTGTGTGAGAAAGAAAGTTACCGACTTTGATGCGGGTAATTGCAATGTTTTGTCATCAGTTGAAGTTCGAAGGGATGTGCCATTTTTGAATTATTTTTTTATACTATTGTGTTTCTTAGATATGGTATTGAATTCCAGTGTTTTGTCAAGATGAGAAGATATTGTTTTTAACAGAATTTTAAATATCACTAATGAGAATTTTATTTATTGTGGGGTTTGTAATACTTTTCGTTGCAAGGTTGGCATATTTGTCTGCTTTTTCGTTTCCAGTAGTACCGGTAGTATGGAATAAACATAAATACGATATTTTTTTTGTTCGAATTAACATTACATGTTTCGAGGATGGGTTTTTAAGTGCTAATAAGGTACTTAGTACTAATAAGGATTCATTGATTATTAGTATGTCGTTTGGTTCCAAGGTATAATCAAGTTGTAACCTTTTATATATGGCGTTAATACAAAAAATACAAAAAAAATACAAATTTTTAAAATTTGCTCGTCTCTGAACTACATGGCAAGTATAATTGCAAATATTATTTTATTTTAAAATTTACTTAGGTATTTACGTACAATCACACCATAGTATGATCCACTAATTGTAATTTATAGTTATCTAATGCAAATTAAAATATTTGGGATTATGATAGGAACAATTAAAACTTATTTATAAAAATAAAACTATTAATTATTAAATAAAAGAGTTAATTATGTATGTAAATATCTATCATAACATTTCTCATGTGTCAATTCGTCATATTCTATGGAACCCGTTAGTCGAAAATACAAATATTTTGTATCTTATTGCTTTAATTTACATGTCACAATCAAAAAGTAAGTATACTTAAAAATATAGCTCAATTTCTTTATTAAACATCTAGACACCGAGTTTATGAACTTACTGCAATACGTGGAAAAATTAAAATTAGTAATAGGTGGGTACTAATCTTGAAGTGCTAAGTATTTTTTTTTATCTTTTGAAAATTAAAATGCTATAAGATAAGGTGAAAAACTATTATGGTTAACAAATAATTTAATATAGATAATTAAATATATTTTAATATAAATAATAATAAACATTATGATATAGTTAAGTATAGAACTACTAAAAATGTGCGTATGATTTATCTATGCGTAGAATTATAATAATTGTATCAATTACCTTCTGCAAATGCTAAATTAAATTCATATAAAAGTATATAGGTATTGCACTACGCAGCTTAAATTTAAACAAAATTATTCAATTTTCATTAACATTCACATTCGTAATTAGCAGGGCTAGGATTTGTATACAATAAAAAATTGTAAAATATGCATTTTATTTATCAAAATATGCAAAAATATGCATTTAAATTTTTATAAGATAACGCAAAAATATAGTTACAAAAAAAAAAATATTTATTTATTGAAATGCATCAATGGTTGTCTGTTTGTCTTAAAATATTATAATTGAGAAATAAAATAAAATTTATGTTTGACAAGAAAATCAAGTTTTACACTTTAATTAGCAGAGCTAGAATTAAATACGAAATATTAATATTAAATTATAAAAAGAGGCGGATTTAGCACTGTAGACAGCTGCCTAGGGCGGCACAATTTTGGGGTGTCTAATTCTGTTGTATTTTATTAAAAAACATCAAACGTATGAAAAAATATTGAAAAATTAATTACTTTATATTTACGAAAAATAATTCTACAATAATGGGTGCATTTTGTTAATATGTTATCGTTGAAATTTCGGGAAAAAATAAATACCCCCACTGCCATACTATATAACTATTTCGACTGTATATTAATAATTCTATGGTGTTATTATGAAAATCTGTTTTTATTAAAATTTAGTGGACATCCATTGACATTATTTCAAAGTAGATTAATTAATAAAAGCAAAAAAATAGTATGAAAATTCAAATGGATGTAGGTACATACGTTTATATATTTAGATTAAATATTTTGGAAATGGTTATATAAATTCTTCACTTATTATAGGGGTGGTATATTGTTGGTTCCTATAGACATAAAAAAGATAAATCCGCCTCTGATTATAAATATTAATTACGAAGTATACTATAAAACATTCATTTTTCACATTCTTACAATCGAAATATGCAATAATATTCATTTTATTCAATATATGCAATAATATGCATTTTATTCAAAATATGCAAAAACATGCAAAATAAAAATACCATCATTAATCTCATCATGAGGTGATTCGTGGACATTACTGACAAAATTAATAATCAGAAGTCGCAAAAAAGTCGTTGCATACAAATCCTAGCCCTGAAAATTAATATTGTAAATTTCATTATACCCAATTAAAATTTATATTAATTTAAATGTTATTTCTATAGTAATTTTATTTAAATAAAATGGGCTATATGGGGTTTCATAATTAATTATGATATGATTTATTCTAACGAAGTAGTATTTCATAATTATATATTTCATGAACGAAAATAAATATTCATGCAATTATATAGGTAGGGCTATTTAATTTTTTCTTTTCTCCAGTACATGTAACATCAATTTTTAATGTCGAGATGTTCATATTTTGTTGGTGATGTTGATATAGGTTATACAAATTAAATGTTTTAAGCTTCTAATTAAAATGAGGGGAACACAGATCCAGCAACTCTTAAATTGAGACTCGTTTCATACGGTGGTCTAAAGAGTATTTTAAAACTTAGTCAAAATATAATTGCCTGAAGAATAATTCTAGATTCATACCACTTCACTAAAAATTACAAGAATTTATTAAAATTAGCTAACTGTGCTTTTTTCCATTAAATTTTTTATATTTTTGCGAATTTCCTAAAAACTTAAAAAACAAAGATAATTTCAGAAACAGAGAAATTAAAAAAAAATCCATTTGTAAAGGTGCTATACAAATAATGTTTACTATCTCAATAAGTGTTTTTTTTTTTTAATTAATCATGTATTAAAATTAAGTTTTATCATTTTCTCTGTTTAGAACCTGGAAATATTAAAAATGTAATATTATTATTATTTTTTTTTTTTTTTTTTGAGGACAATTTATTACAATACTGTTAGTGAAAAATAAATATACTAAAAATATTTTTGAGTAAAGAAAAAGTTTTTTTTTCTTATCATCACAGCTTTTCTTTTACAAATGATAATTAAGTTAAAAGTGAAGGTGTATGATCTATTGGGAAATATTGTTAAATTTAATTATAACGAATAATTTAAAATAATTTAGTTTAGAGTTTTGACGGCACTCATAATTTTACATAATAACGGCTAAGTGTGATAGTATTTTAATAAGTGTGGTTAATTATATTAGTTTTCAAATATTTAATATAGATACTATATAGATACTATAGATACTATAGTACGGAAGTATATTTACCTGTCTGATGAGGTCTAGTAAATATATAATATATATTCAAATATTTTTACATTTTAAAAATTTTAATATTATTAGAAACTTTTGTGTGTACATAGGATCCTTATAAAGATTGGAATTCAAAGTTGAATGCATATCATGAGCTTTTGGATATTAACAATGATGGCGTCGTTACAATTGAGGATATGAGAGAATTAACTAAAAGATTTTCGAAAGTTAACAATATGACGGAAGAGCAAAGTTTAATGTTTTCCAAAATCATTGAAGTAAGACAAATTAACAGTACAACAATCAAAAAATACATAAAAAAAGAAGTTATAAGATTTAAAATTATAAATAAATTTGTCTGTTTCATCATAGAACCTATGGTACAAACATTGGGGGTGTATTAACCCATTTGATTATGTCACGGTTGAAAAGTACTTGAGTTATATTCAATATGTAAAACAAAATGACCGTCTCAAAAATGAAGTTATCCAGCTTTTGCCTTTCCTATTCAAAGTAAATATTTTATTAAAAAATTTAAAATTTAAGAAGTACAACTATTTATTAATATAAATTAGTCATTATTTCATTGGTGATTAGTTTAATAATCGATAATAATATTTATTTAAAATGTTCAGTTATTAATACTCAATTCATATGAAACTTTATTTTTTGTACATTTTCAACTACTAATTTAATTAACCCAGTAGAGCAGTTTTTATTTTGGTTTATTTATGGATTTTTGTTTTGTGTGATTTGCGTTATATAGATGGGGAGATTATAACAGTTTCTTTTCATAATGAACATTTTATATTTTACTTATGTTCTGAATTTGAAGCAATAAATTTAACTTTCCAAAATGTGATTTTAGTATAATTTATTATGTTTAATTATTTGATAACATATAATACTTACATACATGATATAAATTTATATAGTTTGTCATTTTTTAATCAAAACATTTTCAAGGTTTTTGAATGTCGAAAAGGTTATTAATTTTGTTATTTTCCATTTAGACCGTTGACAAGGATCAAAGTGGTCATATCACAAAGGAAGAATACGATAAGTTTTTGGAATGTATGGGTACATCAAATAAGGTGATATATATATATATATATATACTCGAATGAGTACATTATACAAATATTAAGGACAAATTTAACTTAAATATAATTTTATGATAAATTTGTTGTGTAGAACGGCTTAATAAAATCATTGGGAATCATAAATGACAAAGATCACACAATTCACCTGGACGATTTAATTTCAGTTATTCAAAAGTTTTTATTCCAAAATAAAGATGAAGCTGACAAATAAGTACTATATTTTTAAATAGTCAATAAATTGTGTTTTCATTTAAGATACTGTAAAGTATGTTAATAATATAATTTTTTTTTTATTGTGTTTCCATTGTTTACGTCTCAATATTTCGATTTTAAAATAATATACAAACTCTAATAAATCATAATTATTGATATCAAGCGACTGATTTATTACCTTGGTCAATAAAAATATCTTTATATATGCTAAAAACTAAAAATAAGTTATTTACGGGGGTTATATATAAATTAAATACATTTTATTACGGGAATATACTTGTTAATCATGTTCAATTTCCAAAAGATAAAAACCATAGTATGATTTTGAATGCGTCGTCCGAACACACAATACTATAATGGTATAGTTAATACTTATAACTCATAATATTCTTGTAAAAAAAAAAAGTGATATTTATTTTATTGTTACTTATGTTAATACACTATATACGTTTTTAATATAATTTGTACACATATATGATAACGAATAAATGGTATACTGAACCAGTGAGGAAATGACAAAAGTTTAAGAAAAAAAAGAACACCCATGTCTGAAATTTATATTAGCGTCAGTGCTGTCGAGTCACATCCGGTAAACGTTGCGTATAAATTATAATATATTGTCGTTGTCGTCACCGTACAACCGTATAAATGTGAATATTTAAATGCAGAGCAGAATCGTAATCATAATTACGAACAGATTAAGTTTTATTGGCAAACAAACACGTTGACAACACGAACACGTATTGTACGTGGACCCTGGATACAGAAGTACAATATATGATGTGTGTAGGTAGAATAATAATATTGTATACTCGTAGTAAGTGCCGTCCTCACTAACAATAAAGTCCAAGGGCAACAACATTTAACACACATCGAATTTTTCTTATTTTTATTCATTTTTATGACGTACTATAAATTAATAAATTAATAGGACGCCCTAGGGTACTTGCCCCGTTTTCCTTTTCTCTTGGAACAGCTTGAAGTGCACGTATATGACGTTATTTAATTGTTTATTGTTGTTATTTAATCTATAGATTAATAGTATATATTATTTATGTACTTTTTGTAAATCATTAATACTTATAATGTGTTATTGGATGTATTGATTTTGTCACTGACTTAAGCCCATATGAGTGTTTATCTAATAATTAAATAGATAACTACGTCGATTCGTATTTACTACATTATTGTTGAGACCATTGGTGTATATTGGTTTTCATTTCGGAGGGGGCCGATTATGTATTTCATTTTTGGTTGGAAGGGAAGGAGGAAGCACACTATTACGAAAAAAATTACTTTAACACTATAAGACTTCTCGACTGTCTTTACACCATCAGAGAAATAAGAAACACAATTTTTTTAATGATTTATTATTTTTTAAAAGTATAAAAACTACATTTTAATAAACATATTTTATAAATATAAAATTTTAAATTATCGTATAAACAACATTCTCAGTATCGCGACAAATTTTCGGAAACCCCCAGCATTAAGACATAATCATTTTAAAAATAACAATCTTTAAAAATGGTGTTTTTCATTTCGGAGAGGGCCTGAGCCCCCTCGGCCCCCTTATAAATACGCCCCTGGTTGAGAATAATTTCCGTATTAAACTAAGGATCGTTTTAAGTTTTAATTTCAATAAATAAAAGGCCAGGGTGTTCGGGAGCAAATTTTTACAAAAACATTTAATTTCTAAGAAAAAATTATGTATCAAATTCATGCAGCGCCGGTTCAAGGTATAGGCAAGCTAGAAAAGCTAGCACCTGCCTAGAACGGCACTTTAGTGGGGGTGGCATTTTCAAAATTGACTTGTACATTATTTTTAGTTCTGTCGGTGTTTTATAAGAAAAATATTTAAATTAATTCATTCGTGAAAATCATTTAGCTATATAATAAAATAATATTGTCTAAAATTATTATATTACTTTATATTACGTCCTACGCAGGGCGTTTTCAATTATTCCAAAAATATAAATAACCACACAATAATTTCCACGATTTCCGACAGTCGCGATAGTGATGGGTTTTGAGTAATAATTATAGAAATCATTTTTAAGTCTTTTTAAGTATAATTTTATACATAAAATAAAAAATTAACATTTTTTTTTTTTTATGTAGATATGTCACATAAAAATAGGGGGAGGGACTAAGTTAAAATAAGATCTCATTTCTTTTTTTTTTTTTTTTGGAGGTGGCAAAATTTGATTTTGCCTAGTGAACTATTTTTGCTTGGGCCGGTTCTGAATTAATGTTAAAAAAAAAAAAAAAAATGATGAAAAATTCAAAGTTTGCAATATAGGTATATAAGGTGTGTTCCAAATAGTGGTGACGGGTGTTTGCCTGATGCAATTGCGCAGCCCTAGAAATATACGGTAAGATAGGGTGCCCAAAACTAGATACCAACAACTTCCTATTTTACTTATAGTAGATCTACAAGTAATATCCACCGAATAGTATTCATAATGTATTATATGTTAATCAATATAAACAGTACACAGAAATACAATTTAAGGAGAGCATCTTAATCTTGTAACGATGGGTGAGAGAGATGTTTTTATGTAATTGCGCAAGAGTGTAAGATTTTGTCACCACGTCATTGGTTTTAAGTAATATGTTTAAAATACAACAAAAATAGAGTTATAAATAATAACGTAAAAAATATTACACTAAATACGTTGTCAAAAATATCAAGCTTGAACATTTTCATATAAAATGCGTAGAAAAAAAAAAAGAAAAAATTGTGGAAATCAAATGTTTTCATTATTAATATGTAATAATATTACTACGAACGAGAATTACTGAATCTACTATAATATATATATTTAAATTTTTTGATTGCCAGTGGTAAATATGATGATAGAATTTTCGAATATTTATAAAAATCTGGTTAGGAACGAATAGGTGAATAGTAAAAAATATTATTGAAATCGCGAAAGAGACTGCATAAACAGGTTCGTTATGTTTTTACGTCTATATAAAGTTTGATTTTCTGAAAAAATTTACAAAAATGTATAAATTGAAGCAATTTGAAAATAATATGTAACTGTGATGCATAGAGCTCATTTGGAAATTAAGTAAATGGCTTAAATATATATATCAATAGAAAAATAATGAGGGATGGTACTCCATAGGATACTATGTCAGTAGTTTGTATTTGTATGTTCTGGCTCCATTTTTTACAGGGAGATTCAAAATATTTGACCAACAGTCGCACGGTAAACTTTTTTTAGTTACCGTGCTCACGATTTTTTCAAAAACCTATATGTATGTTCTGGCTCCATTTTTTTTTTATAAATTAATTTTGGTAAAATAAAAAAATTAACCAACTTTTTTTTAAATACACAATTTTTTTTATTTCCCAAAATGTCAACACAATTTTTATTACAGTACAATACTTTTTACAATATTATTTCGTAAACTCAGTTACTGTTACAAGTAGCGTCATACTTAATAAAGTAATTTGGAAAATTCCACACATTAGTGTAGATGATTTTGAACGACTTAAATTATTAAAAATTATGGAGAAAGGAAAAAGTCTATTTATTCCATTTAGATCGTATGAAACCTATGAATATCCAGAACTAGGAAAATCTAGAAATATAGTTTGGAATTTAAAAACAGCATCAAAATTAGAAAAACCGCAATATGTCGTGATAGGTTTACAAAAGAATTTAAAAAATAATATTGTAAAAGATGTTTTACAAATATTTTCGAACATTGTAAATTAACTAATATAAAAGTTATTTTAAATTCTGTTATTTATTCGTACGATAATTTAAATTTAGATTTTACTAAAAAAAATTATTCAGTATTATTCAATATGTATACATCTTTTCAATAATCGTATTATGGAAAAGAAGAAAGTAAACCGATATTAAGTCCAGTTGATTTCGAGACTAAAGCACCGATTGTCGTGATAGATACTTCTAAACAGAACGATACAGGTACATCTTCAACTATTGACGTTAGCATAGAAATTGAAGCTATGGAAAATCTAGAGGGTGTGAGTGCTATTGTCTTTTAATTCATGATCGTATTATAAAGTATGTACCTTTTAGCAGAGAAGTTAAGAAACTTGTATAAATTATATAAATAATATTGTAAAAAGTATTGTACTGTAATAAAAATTGTGTTGACATTTTGGGAAATAAAAAAAAATTGTGTATTTAAAAAAAAGTTGGTTAATTTTTTTATTTTACCAAAATTAATTTATAAAAAAAAGAAATGGAGCCAGAACATACAAATACATACTACTTATGTCCAATTTGTCTACAGCACAAACTGATTCGGTGTACTTATAACGAGAACGTACTCGAGTGTTTTTATATATTTTTACATACATCTAAAAACACACATAGAATTACATATGTTCTACCTATTGCATATATCATACTTGTCAACTGATTTCCATCGCTTTCGTGTTTTATAGTGTATTGACGTACAAATATATATTATATTTATGATGTTTTATTTTGAGAAATTATGACGATACGAATTTAAATCTCTGCATAATTAACGACTGCTGACCCAGTGCTAGATTTAACCTATGACTGCTGTAAGCATTGAATAATATTGCCGCTTTATGCATATTTTTACATTTTTTATACCTGGTACTATTATTATTGAAATGTGAGATAAAAGATTAATAATATACAATATTTTTATCTCGATTTTAATTAAAAAAAAATATTTTTGTACAATAAAATCGAGATACTTAGATGATAGAAAAAAAAATTCTGAAATTCAATCAATCCTGTACACCTGGTGGAATTTTAATTTCACAATCATAAACGTTTTGATACGAATATTTTATACTCTTGGTGAATTTTCTACCTACCCGGCCGAATAACACGTGATTTACGAATTATTAATTTTTACAATAAGTGCCACGGATTCGTTGCGAGTACAATCTCGGCAATAGATGTTGGCAGATATGCTAGGATGTCAGGATCAAGCTGGGACGTGTGCGAAGATGGAGCTCGCGTCTAGGTCCCGCGATATTTACATACCATAATGATATTGTCCGTAGATCGCGGTACACATATTTACTCCTTCGGTAGTATAACAATAAAAACTTATCTGAATGCGCATTTAAAGTCTACTACAATAACGGAGCAATAGTTATCATATTCGAAGTGTAACGACACGTCGTGCAACGTGCTAGTGCACCGATAACGTGTGTGCGCACGGACGTGAGCGAATCGCGTACAGTATAAATGTGCATGCGCGCGCGAGCACGCATACACACAATTCTGCATTCCCACTCGTACACCCGCGCACGTACACATGCACACAATTCACGCGATCGTACGAACACTTTCGCGCTGTCGCACGTGCACTGTACAATCCGCGTACGGGTCGCGCGCGCGTTCGGCTGAGGCGGCGGCCAGCGGGAGAAAAATAAGTGTGCGATGGAACGGGCCAAAGGCGTCAGCGGTGGCGGCTAGCGCTCGCGGATCAATATCGTCCGGTGACGGATCGCGGCTCACCGAACGTGCGCGCCGCCGCCGATATTGTGCTACTCGCAAACCGCTAACGCGCACAAACGACGACAGTAGTAGTAGAAGTAGTAGTAGTAGACGACGATAGTGTGCACAATATTGGGCCGCACACGCACACACGCACCGGCGGTACCAACACATCGTACGGTGGTGGTCCGTTGGCTTGGAGTGAGGCGTGTGATAGGTACGGATAAAAAGAGATAATTAAGAAGTAGTGAGGGAGATAGAGAAAAGGAACGCGAGAAGAAAAAGCCGAAAACGCGTAATCGGATTTTTATCGATACGCGATGAAACACATGTTCCTAGAGCTGCGACCGTTCTGTTTTGAATAGTGCTGCAGCGCCGCGACCAGACGGTTCCGCGGATCCGGCTACACATTGCGATCGTGCTGCACCACGGGCACGTTTTGACAATAACCGTACTCGGTTATTTCCGCCCTCCGTCGTCGTCGTTCCGATATAGTGCCGCGAAAATTACGGACGCGAGCCGCCGCCGCCGCCGCCGCCGTCATTGCCGTCGCTGCCGCCGACGCCGCTGCCGCCACCATCCGCCGCTGCTGATATGATGATCGCCGCCGCCAACAGTAGTCCTGCCGCCGCAGCCGCTACCACCTGATCGCCGCGGACGGCAGCTCTATGACGACGACAACGGCCAATAATCACTGTTGCAGTTAGAGCGGTCGCCGACCACACCGTCGCGACCATTCGCTAGTTCCGGATTTCGTGACGCACACGCGATATCGCGTTCAAGGTAACACTACGCAATATAATAAATTTTAACACTCGTATTGTATTTCTATGTGTACGCTGTCGCTCGGTCGCTACGAAGTACGGGACACGCGTGCGCCAAGTGCTCACTGCGTTTCCCTGATGCTTTGCACTTGGTATTTTCAACACGACGTCACCGCGTGCTCGTACCGTCCATCGATAATCGCATGTTGGTGGAAGTAGGAGAGGGTGAAAGGAGCGATCGGAAGTGATACGGGACGCGTTCGTCACCGGCCGCACGCACTCGTCGATCGTTCGGATCGCAGGATTCGACAAATTAATGTTGTTATATTTTATTATTGGTTTGGGAAAAATAACACAATAATACCACTGTAGCGCCGGGGAGTCGAAAAGGCACGTACCAGGGATCATATCCTCCCACTTCGATCACTTGGTATCGATTAGACGTGTTTACCGAATCGTATCGGGATGATAACAATAATTCCGCGAAAAGATAGATGACATGAGGTCGTACTCTCCGCTCCCTGCGATCTTGGTATTTTTACATTTTTCGGTTTCCTTTGGAACACACAATAATAATACTGTACGATGTCTACGAGCACAAGGACTGGAGGGGAGAACAATAATACAACTATGTATTATAATATGTCAATAACATTGCTCGTAAAATGTCCGAGTTCGGGATTTCTAAGGTCTAGTACATTTTACAACCTGCCAGTGCTTATTTCCGTCCTGTAAATGAATCGATAATAATATCGTTATAACTTCGAAGTTACAAATTGTACCATGGTACTATGGTATATATACATGTATCGGGAATAATTTCTGCGGGTCGATTTCCGTACAGGTGTTTTTGTTATACCCATACCACGTTATATCATGATTAAAACCGATTTTCAAATAACCTCTACAGTTCTTTTTTATACTAATGTAACAAAACTGTAAACCACGACCTTTACAACCAATACGATTGCTATACTAGGTTAGTTGTTATAATGATGGTGGAAGTAACATTTGGACTAACTTTGTAAAAACACTAAATGTTTAGACCGATGCTTATATTTTCGTTATTTGTTTACATAATATTTTCTTCTCGCTCCGAACTATATGTTAGGTTTCTATCTCTATCTCTCTTTCTACATAAATATACACATATGTGTAAGATATTAATTAAAACAAAAACATGTAAATTAACCGAAACAAAAGTGTTTGTCGTTAAAAACCTTGACATCTTGTACCGTATAACTATTAATTAAAATTAAACTGAACTTATGATATAATGATATACTCGTAATTATGAGATCGATTATCATGTTGATAATTATGTATTATTATCAATGAACAAGTCATATTTTACAAATTTGATTCAAACTTCACACATGATTTGATAATTTGAAATGAATAGGATTTACTTTTATCAATCAATATTTATTGAATGGTCTAAATCACGTGTTTCCCTATATTGATGCTATTTGTACATTATTCTATATACTCACAATAACCGTTGTTTGCAGTGGCGTATATTAAAAAAAAATTGTGGGAGGAGGCTTAAATTTTTCTAAAAAGTAAGAGATTTTATATTATTAAAAATACATATAAGGTATGGATTAATAATATTATACATTATATTATGATATTATACAAATAATTTTATACAAACATTACAATCTTATGATATATGTAAATTAATATTTTTTCTTTCTTTGTATTTTCGTAGCAAGTCATTTATGGTATTTGAACCTTTTTTTTCTTCTGGGGGAGGTCAAGACCCAGTACCCCCCCTACAACATTACACCACTGGTTGTTCGTATTACATTTTTCTGATACATTTATACATTTTATATTTGGAGTTCACGTTGTCAGTGCCAGCAACAATTATTGCACCCGGGGTGAAACATCAAAATGTGCCCATATGTAAATATATTTTTAATTTAAAAATATAATTATCATATATTACATTCAATAATTGCTTCATTTAATATAAAGGACATTGAAGTTTTCCTAAATAAAATATACAACATTGACCGTTGTTTTTTTAACATAAAATGCAAATTTTTCATTTTTGCGTTCTCCCAGGAATTGTACTCGGGGCGTAAGCACCTCTCACCCTCTCCTTGCTACGGCCTTGCACGTTGCGGACATATGGTTGTCCCGGATGGGCAAATATGTATGCCAAATTTCATAAGAAGTAGTACAACATTTTATAATCTGAAAAAATACTATTGTTTTCACACTTTTATTTATTTTTGTTAAGTATTTCACCTCGATTTTTATCTTAATATACTTAAATATTAAAGATTTAAGATTAAAACTGAATTGTTCATGACTGAAAAAAATTATTATAATAAATATATAATTTATTAAAACTAATGTAATTATTATAGTGTAAAATTTACCAATTAAGTTTTATATTCTTTAAACTCAATAAAGGTTAATTATTAATGTTTTATAATGATCAAAGAATGTTTAAGTGTTAATTATATGAAAATGTAAGTTGATTAGAAAGATATATAATAATATAATACCTTATTAGTGACCGGTAAGTACTAAGAAACTATTTCCGAACTTTTAAAAAAAGGCTAGTAGTATCTAAAAAAATAAATATTATGTAGCTACAGTTTAGAATAGAAATAATATATTTTTAAAAAAAAAAAAAACCAAAGCTTTTTTTGCTATGGTTGAAGTACATTTTTGGCATCGTGAAAAGTAATTACATTCTTAAAAATAATAGTTCTTAGACGATCTGTTAGATGTTCTCTGTCATCAATTAGTTTTATTATGAAAATTGTTACTATTTTTAATTGTTGATCGATCTACAATCTGCATTCTATAGAATAAATTTAATTGGTTACATATTAAATAAATTAAATTAATGTTGTATAAATATCCATAGTTAATCAATTTTAAAAATATAAAAGTTTTATTTTTTTAGTACCTACATAATTTATTCATTTATTTGTAAAAATATTTCATCCACAAACATTTTGAAAAAGTAAATTAAAAAAAAAAAAAAAAAATACAGGAAAAATATAAAAGGCAGTCACGGAAAACATGATATACATTATTATGTCATAAGTTACGAGTTATCAAATTAAAAAAACATAGTAATCTCGTTTATAGAAGAACGTTTAATCTCAAATTTAGAATTATAGATACATAACGAATACATTTTTCACCCTCCTTTTTTAGTTTCTAGCTAAAAGTGGACAACTTTTAAAAATTAACCTTATTTTTCAGATTTTCTCAATCTTCATCTTATATTGTATAAGAGAAATTAATTAATATATTTTACAAAATATGTTGTTCTATTCTTTATTTCTAATAAAACCTATTTCAGTGAAAAAAAAGTGTAACGAGTAACACACAGTAAATTTTTTTAATTACAAAATTAACATGATTTTCAAATATAAAAAAATAGGATTCAAACTAACTAAGGTACTCAATTGTTCTACACCGAAACACACAAAATTAAATGGGTCTTAAGTATAAAATCAAAGTTTATATTTCAGTATTACATATACATTTTTAGTTTTAATCGAAAGCTGATTGTACGAACACAAACAATTTTACTAATTAGATTACATTACAGTTATTTCGTAAGGTTGTATGAATCATGAACGTGCAATTTACTGATTTATCATTTCTAATTTTAAAAATAGATAAAATACACAAAAACATATTTAAAAAAATAAAATTAATTTTAAAGCAAAAAAGCAAATTTATGTTGCATTTATTTTAGTATGATAAAATAAATATAATGATATTGAAATGGGACTGCCCTACTTGCTATTTATTTCTATTGAGTTATAATTTTTTATCATGGACGCTAGTGATGATCAAAACAAGACCAAAACCAAGACTTTCAAAATTTTGGTCTTGGTCTTAGTCTTGCAGACCCAATTTTGATCTTGGGTATACGCTTTAATCTTGGTCTTGGTCTTGGTCTTGCAAAACTCTTACTAATTTTCAAAAAATATAAAAAAAAAAATTAAATATCTATCTATTTCAGCTGTGTAGGTTTTTTGCTATGACTTCTAAGATGAGACTTAAGTTAAATATATTATATAGTATATTAATAATATAAAACAATCAAACAATTTAATATTTATTATAGGTACTTGTTTAAAACATTGCATTTTAAATTATTATGTTTATATTATTTTACTTGTATTTGTATTTGATGAATAAAATTACCAGCATAATTAACTTTGTAAGTTCCTATTACTTCTTCTAATTCATTCACATTCTCGCTTTGGTCCACTACATCTTCAATGTCACTCGTTTTAAAGGTACAGTAACAATAATTAACAAGGCGTATAACCAACAGACTACAAGTTTACAACAGTAATGAAATTTTATGCTGTACACTAGTTTAAGTACACAATGTCTAGTACAGAAAAATCACACAAGCTACGAACGAAAATAAAAACCTACTTCCAATCAAAATGTCATCTATCGTAGTCCGTAATGACTTCCAGCAATTATTAGTATATTCGATTCAAAATAGAGGTGTATTATGGATATAAGACATTAATTATTCTATGAGCAAGATAACTTTCGACGTTTTCATTGATTTTGGGAAGAAAAAAATTTCAGTAATTGCTAATTATGAAACAACTATATTATGTTATTTTGTAATATTAATTCCAATTATTTTTAATCATTTTTTTTTAATAATTCTTCATTTCCTCGAATACTGATCAAATTTAATAATAATAAAAGCAATTTCTTATTATTTCCGTTATAAATTATTGATTAATGAAATCTAAATAACTAATGTGTTTTCGGGGGGAAAAAAAAATTGCAAAAATGCAAGAGTCTTGCAGTGATGGTCTTGTTCTTGCAAGCCTAATCTTGGTTTTGGTCTTGCAGCAAGAGTCTTGCGAGATCAGAAGACCAAGACCAAGCAAGGGTGTATTTGATTTGAGGCCATTGGGAGGGAGGTGAAACTAATTTTTCTTCAATACAAACTTTAAAATAATTTAAAGTTCATTACAGGGCGTACTCAAGAGGGGAGGGGGG